TTCGTGAACTTCTACGAAATTTCTTTGAAAAAGAACTTAACACAGGAGTTAATCCGGATGAAGCAGTTGCGTACGGTGCAGCTGTTCAGGGTGGCGTTATTGGTGGTGTGGAAAACACTGGTGGTGTTGTGCTTTTAGATGTATGCCCATTGACTTTGGGTATTGAAACGGTCGGTGGTGTCATGACGAAACTTATTCCAAGAAATACAGTTATCCCAACCAAGAAGTCGCAGATATTTTCTACAGCTGCTGACAACCAGCCGACTGTCACGATACAAGTTTTTGAGGGTGAACGGGCTATGACAAAGTTCAATCATTTTCTTGGCAAGTTCGACCTGACAGGTATTCCTCCGGCACTGCGTGGTGTTCCACAAATTGAAGTGACGTTCGAGATTGACGTTAACGGCATACTGAGAGTTTCCGCAGAAGATAAAGGGACCGGTAGTAAAAACAAAATAGAAATCAATAAAGACCAACATCGCTTAGATGCAGAAGAAATCGAAAAAATGATTAATGATGCAGAACAGTTTGCAGCTTCAGATAAGAAGTTAAAAGAGCGTGTTGATGCCAGAAATGAGTTCGAAAGTTCTGCTTATACTCTCAAATCTCAGATTGCAGACAAAGGTCAACTTGGGGAAAAACTTAGTGTTGATGACAAGAAGAAAATCGAGAAGGCTATTGAGGAAGCTATTTCATATTTAGACGGCAATCCCCAAGCTGAGGCTGAAGAATTGAAACAGAGAAAGAAAGCATTCGATGACATTGTCCAGCCTATAATCTCCTCATTATACCAGCAGTCAGGAGCTCCTCCTCCAGCCCAGCCTGATATGGAAAGAGATGAACTGTAAAGGTTTGACTTTGTTGTGTCCCCTGTATATTCCTCCGATGTGTTTTTACCTCCATTTTTGTTTGTTTGACAAAAGATATAATACATGCTTGTTTTTTTTTGAGTTCAGTTTTCTTTACAATAAAATTGTTTGTTCGGGTCTCATGCACTGAAACTTAAGCTCTTGTTGTGGGTGTTTGTCAGATGCCTTGAATACAGCGTGTAGTTGTCTTATCGCTTGGCAGTTTCGCTTCATTTCCTCGTATCTCCTAACTCCCCAACAGTATTTTATAAAACTTAACACGCTAACTGGGGATAAGCAGTCAGTCGTATAGGGACAGATAATGCCGCCCATCTGCCGTTCAGAAGTGAGTTGGACTCCTGAATTATGGGAAGATTTTGACTGGGTTTCATTTGATGTCTTGCGTCGCCTAATTAGGGTAGCCAACTGACTATCTAGTATGTATGGTTCCAGTAACGACTTCTTAGCCCAAGCGCTTCGCAATAAGGTTTATACTGTTCGGTTTGCATCACATACGAGGAACAATTTTCCACTGATCTACAGCGCAGCCACTCATTAAACCGACTAAATTATTGGTACAAGTTGTCTTGCGGTCGTTGATGCAAGCAGATTAGACTGTCAGGTGTTTGTGTTCATAGTCGTAAAGTACGGCTGATCACACCATGTACGTTAAGAGACAAGTAGAGTGACGTAATACAAATAGGTAGCTAAAGTGTTAACCGGTTGCGAACAGCATTGTTTGAGTCTCCTAACTCGATGATAATCTCGCATACCTCAACCAGAATATCTCCACATACTTACGAGGCTTAAGTTAAATTTTGTTGACTGGTACCGTGTCACGGTTTACCGGACATTGATTTTTACTAGATGTCGAGGTAGGTGTTAACTTATTACGTCTAAGACATATCAATCGATGAAGCCTATCAACCCACTCGACACATTTTCCAAACTTCGGCGTTTCTCACTTGTTCGATTTAGCAGATCCAAGCAATCATGTGGGAATATTGTCGAAGCACTGGACTGGTCGTTTGTGTAAGGTTTCGAACGGAAGTCGGATGCTAGTCTACTCACATATTGCAAATATAGATTGAAGTATTTTGTGCTAATGTTAGTTTTAAATAGGACACAATGTATATGAATTTGTGAACTTACGTTGAGTAAGGTGTCTTGCTCATGTACTATGTAGCCTGACTGACAACATATAACACCTTGTCTAGATTGGAATCAAGTAAAAAATCTGATTTAAACTGCGAAGCCAACAAACGCGGTCTGAACCATATCGATTTCACTAATAGGTGGGCGTGAGAAGCAGTTTCTGCGATTGCATATAAACTATCAAAGAAATCACTGATTCGAAGGGGTTGATTAGTTTACATATTATGCATTTTACCACTCGTTATTTTAACTTTCCTTTTGTAGTGTTTCCAACAAAGCTGACTTACTCTTCCTACAGTACAATGTGTGATAGTCTCCATGAGGTCCTGCACTTTTAATCCCGTTTATAAAGTTGTTATATGAGTTGTGGTGCTCTGAGACTGGTCTGGAGCCGGACTATATATATGTAAAGGTGTTTACCGGTATTTTAGTAATGTGGCGAATTCAACTTGACGAGCATGTGATTATCAGTGAACTGCAGGACCAATGGGTCCTGTTATCAAACCAAAATAGTGCGACATATAGAGGACGATAATTAGCACTGGATTCCAAAGATTGTTAGTCAAGTTTGTTAACAAACAAACAAGTGGAATCTTGATAGATGTACTTTGCTAATGCATAAAGTACTATCTTAATAGTTAGAATGTGATAGTTCGGGTTCTACCATACCTTTCCAGTGTTCGATCAAAGTAACTAAGATTCAGTAAATTATAATCTCTTTAAAGCAAACCAAAAACACTGTTTCAATCCCAATATCATGTGCTTGACAAGTAGTTAGTACGGGCTTAAGTCTTGACGGCAGGCTGTATAGTTAAAGGTAGATTCTTAAAGACAACTTTGTTGAAGTCGGTCGATATTGAGTTGGAAATCCATTTTGTATGATTGCGGAATTATTCTAAGTCCAAGTGAGTTTTTGTCTACTGAGGTTATTTTTCTGATTTGAAAGCATTATTTTTCAAATGATTCTTTCGTATTGACAAAAATAATTATTATTTGTAATACTTCAATGGATAGAAAATTAGATTCTTGACGTTTCACGACTTGGTGTAGGTCGCTTCTTCATACAACAAATAAATAAACGAACTGCATCCACACGAGTTTGATTGATCCTTTTCTTTCAGATCAAACTTTTGTACAAACAAAGTGTTTCCACAAGCTTACTAAGTTGTCTTCTAACATAGATAAGTTTCTTGGTGTTGACTCTAAAACCTAGTTATAACAAACTTGTTGAAAAGACGTTACTTAGTTTTCTTTGCATATCACAAGGAATTCTTATGCAAATTTGGCCAATCTATCCTAGAATCCGCTCTCTTCATGATGTCTCAGACATTTACTCTATGACCTTAACTACTGATGAGATTCGATCGGACCATGATTTTCTACATTTAGAAATAACTTGGAAGTCCCAAAAATCATCAGGGTTAGGGAGAAGGAATCAAATATATTGCACACGAGTTAATGAAATATACCATAAACGGAGTAGGCTAATAATTCAATAGAATACATATCAAGCAAAATCCCAAACATTGGTCCGACCAAATATACATCTGTATATGAAGTGGAAAATTATAGGCTTTTGTAGATCTGGAATATTACACAAACAGTTCGAGTTAATAAAGCTATGAACCAGGATACATCTGAATTCCTTAATTGTCATTAGAATATCTACTTCACAACTTGGTAACTTTTTGCTTGATGATGTATAGATAAGTAATTAATTTGATGGATGTTTGTAATTTAATTTCATATGTTCTCCCCAGTAATTAGTTTGGTATATTCATTTTCATCAAGCAAAGCAATACCATTCGTTTAATTGTTGATCATAATCGTCGTTTGACCTTCAGAATTCTCTTAATTGATGTAAAACTGTAAAATACTGTCAACTAACTGTATTGTAGCCTATAAAATCAAATTATTCGCTTTTTAATGATTATTTCAAAACTGATTTGACCTATTTTATTATGTTATTCGTATACTTTGTGATCTCTGTGTTGACTATTCCTATTTGCAAATGTTTTTATGTGAATACTTACAGTACTTATTTACTTGTCAGTTAAAACTTGGGTTGGAAAAATATCCACTTACATTTTGAAATACTTAATCAACATATGTACTGTCGAATCCAGTTTTACCTGTGTTATGTATAACCAAAAGAATAAGTACGGTAATAGTGAATAAATTACACCGAACAACAAATATTTATGGTTTACTTTGTTTTGGGTACTTTACTGTTACACATGATCGCAGTAACAACACAAGATAACATCTATCCAACAAGTGAGGATAGAAGACAATCTTCAATGTACGTTTGTTATTAATCTGATATTACAACGGGAAAATAGTTGATTGATTTACGTTTGTTAGTTCAACACTTACGTCGACAATCCACATGCAGCATCTATCTAAATCTAAACTGTGCGAAAACTCTCATCTCGTCGACTAATAGAGTAAAACACGAGAATAGTCAGGAGGAATGCATATATTGTTGAGAGACATTACTGTGTTGACATAATACATATACACAGCCTTTAGTCATCCATTTGTATCTTCAGATGTGTTCTGAAATCCGAACTATCTTCTCGTCTGGACTTCAAGTGTTCTGTCAACGCCGTGCTTTTGATGCACTGAAACATTACTTTATTCGACATTTGTCGCAACTTCAACACCACATCCCGCCACACACCACATACCAACATCCCTGTGAGCATCGTTCACTACAATAGCTCAAAACATTTCTACTCAATTTATTCATCCTTTCATTTTTCTTTTCACAGTCACTGAACGGTTGCCGTTCTCATCATACAAGCCGTACTAAACAGGCTTCGACGTTTTTATAAATACTATAAGGCTGCAAGTTACACGGATTACATGAGTTTAAAAAAAAAGCAAAATTACTTTCTCACAGATGAATAAAATTGAGTCGATTTACGTTCCAACCAAAAATGTGTCAATTACTAATTAGTCAAACATAAAATGTTCAACTTTACACTAGAATAGGTTCGCCACTTTGCTTTTTTTAATGAATGTATTTATCGGACGTAACAATTACAAAACATGAAAACAATAAATTAATCTGCTAATTATATATATATATAAAAGAAATATTCTGTATTGTAGTTTTTTAAGATTTTCCGTGTTGAACTTCTAATTGCATACTTTCAAATGCATCACCTAATGTTCTACGAAGTTCAACCAACTTTTGATCGATATCTTCTATTTCTTTCTCGAGTTTATCCTTTAGTTCTTGTTTTTGTTGTATCGCATCTTCGAGATTTTTACGTTTTATGAAAGAAGCCTTCTGACGTTCTGATGCTGCTCTAAAATAAAAACTTCGTAATGAGAAATTCTGAAAACGAACTTCGAGGATCAACAAAGTAAACTTTTTGCCACAATTACGACAGCTATTGATAACAATATGAAAATATTGTAGTACGAAATAACTGACAGATCAAAACAATTCGAAACATGGTACAACTTTTGTTTGAATTATGTTCCTACTTTAAATAAACACTTAAAAGGAATGCATTTATGTTTATCAAAAGATATCAATCCAGACATGAAGTTCTTTTAATTTATACTTAAACATCACCAATAAGGAAGAAACATTTATCAGAGTTGAATCTACTACACGCTGGTAAATCAAACGGCCTAGCTGAGCTTGGTGAAGATCCTAATCTAATGCACAGTCTTTTTAACACTTTGGATATAAATTTATGATGTTAGGTAAGCGTTTATATTTCTAAAGGTTGCTTCAGGAGTAGTCTATCACAACATCTAGACTAATTGTAACGACGAATTAACTGGATCCATCAACTATTCCACTTTACATGGAAGTTTTCTTGGCTTTAGTTAGTTAGTCGTTGATGAAAACTCCTGACTGATTCAGAAGGCTCGTTCTGCTCTTGCCAACTTTTGTAACTTATGGCCTTAGCAACATGTCAAGGAACGAAGGGCTAAGTATATTGTTAAGCAGTCCCATTTATTTTACTCTGTATCTACCAAATGTAGCCTTTGAAGACGTAAAATCTTCATAGTCCATCAGTACCTGATCCTAGATCGCCTTGAAGCATCACTGGGATATTATTGAATAAATTAGAAAACAATCGAGAGATTAGAGGTAGGGTACGAAGTAAAGATAGTAAACCGGTTGATGGGATTATGAATCTTCATAAAGATTTACAAACTTATCGACAAAGGTGGTCGAGACATTTTTTACTTATGCATAGTCACCATTTGCCTCGACGTTCAATGTTTTCTGAGGTAGAACCAGATTAGGAGGAAACCACGGATGGCCAAAACAAAATGTGGCATCAGTCTGAGAAGTCATTATCTGCTGGGCTAAGTCTTATGGGTAGCTAAAACTAATTAGTTGAAGCTTCCATAATAACCGCGATTAGTAGAGACATGTGATGGTGTGATTTAGAATCGATCACAATGTTGCAGGAACGTCTACTCATTATTTCCACCTAGATCTTGTGTTTCCGAGTTCTATCATCTATACATTTTCATTATTTCTTCAAAAAAATTATTCTTAATGGTCAGTTTTGTTCAGTCTATTGACCCTATTATTATTTTGGCTCTTATGTTATTCCTCTTGTTAATTTCATTTTGTTGAGCGAATATGATACGGAAACAAGAATGCAGTGTCATTCAGTTGTAGTCGACGTAGATACTGAGATGAATGTGTATTAGTCCAAGTTGTCACATTTTATATCGGTATAGTGAGATAGGAAATAATATAAAATACAGTGTAAACCTGAATATGAAATGTATTTTATTTGGTACGAATCGAAGAATGGAATGCACAAAATGATAATATGCTCATAATTTAAAGGAAGACGGTGAATGCCATCTAATATTCTGATGCTACAATAATTTTCTTACTGACCTCCTGTTGGAAGAAAGTCAGAAAAGAAAAAGTTATACAGTATGTATATCTGTTTTTTTGTGTATTATTAAGTAATATATATCAGTGTTATTTTTGTAGTGTTTTATACACTCCTAATTTTAAGCTTTAATTTCACTCATTATCCATAATAAATTATCTTGTTCAAAATAATAGCCAAGTAATTATCAATGTAACCCAACCTGGAGTTCTGTAGGGCTACTGCCTGTCATAAGCCCCGGTAAAGTGGGATGTTTTAAGGTAGGGTTAGCATCCGTGCCTCGAAAATAAAGAACTTCGCTAAAGAACTACTTACTAGAGTAAACCAAATAATCCATACAAATCTGTAATAGGGGTTGAAGGGTCTTCGCAGAGAAGAGTTATGACGCCTCTTGGTGGAACCCCAAAAGCTTCGGTAGCCAATAGCTTGATGTCTCTTCTGACAACTGGAGAAACAGTTAATATAGGTTTGCTGAGTGTCTGGACAATACGGAAGACTAGGAGGGACATTTAAACAGGGGCGGAATCGAGGAGATAAATCCTCTGACATTATTCGAACAGAATAGACTAGCTTCAGGAGAGATGCCGTTGTACTCTGGTAATAAAGATGAAAATGCCTCGCACACACAAGAAATTGCACTGATGTTGTATAGAGAATAATAAATGAATAAAGGATTGTGATGAATTTCGTCCACTGCTGCGCAAACTCCATTGATGGTAATGAAGATGACAAAGATCAGTTTTATGAGAGACTGGAATCGACCATAGCTCAGTGCCCAGGAAAGGGCCTGGTCATCCTGGTGGGAGAACTAAACACCTGGGTCGGAATGGCTAGAACCAGGTATGAGGATATCTTGGGACGACATGGACTTGGAGAAGGGGACAGAAATGAAGAGAGATTTGCTAATTTACATGCCTTCAACAAAACCATTATAGGTAGTACCATTCTCACCCACAAATGCATACACAAAGCTACATCAGCTTCACTCGACCACGCTACAGAAAATCAGATCGATCACATCTACATATCACTGTGGCAGCGGGTAAGCCAGCTGACGCCTGAAAAGGAAATTAGGAAGAGACAGTGGAGGTTGATAGGGTACACTCAGCAGAAACAATTAAGCTAAACCATAAGCAAGGTTCAACTAAGAATACTCAAGTCAGAAGGAAGCAATGGAGACTAAAGGAAACAAGGTGCCGGGAACTGGACGCGAACATCAAGATCATGTATAGCACTTGGCATCAACTGTAAACGAAAGCTCAAGACTGAGTAGCTTGGAGATCCCTGATCGATGGTTTATGCTCCAAGAAGTTTAACGGGCTTGTAGTATGTACATTGTAGTCATATTTTTCACGTATATGACCATATAGGTGTTAGAGAAAGAAAATAAAACACTTATGGCCCACTTGACCTGTCTTTCCTCTTTATGACTAGTTGCTTGGGATAGCAGTTAAGTGAGAGAAGACACAGTAACAAAGTATCATCAATGGCGATTAAAATAAAAATCCTCTGCAGTAACTATTACTAGTGATTAACATTGATCAATTTTGATAAAAATTACTGAGATCAAAATGTACATAAGTGAATACTTACTCCATTTGTCTGTTGATATAATCAATTGAATCAGTACAGAAGAATCCATCCTGATTGGATTCGTGTAAATAGTTCAGATTGTTATTGACATTGGATTTCGAAACTTCATGCTCCTCCTTATTGTGCCCCTAATTTAGAAAGAAATATAGTAGCGTAAAAACAAATCCTGTGAAAATGTGTTACTTTCGAAAAGTCTGTCTTTGCATTTTCTGAATGTTCATCAGAATGATTTTGATATATTTCATTGAGTAAATTATTCCAAGCTTGAATGAATTCCTGTTTGGCCAACTGTGAAAAATAAAAATTTATTCCAAGTTTTAAAAGAAAATTATTCTAATAAATATGAATTACATTTAGTTCGTTTCTTTGTTGTTCCCATATTTCGAAATCTATTTGATTCTTGAAATATTTAGTTAGACAAGTATTTCTGAAATTGAAATAGTAAATTTTGATTATTACAAATTGAATATTGGGATAAATGATTGGAATACAATTAGAATAGTCATCGAACATTCGAAAAAATTACAAAATGTAATTAAGATAGACGATCTGTTGAGATTGTTGTGTTTCTATCCGACGAAGTGTTCAATAACAAGATTTGCCATGCTCGTTCGAATGAATCTTATTGACATATGTAGTAAATCACGGGTGCCTTGTGTGTAACTTTTAAATTCTTTGGGGTCAGTCTTGTATATGTTGAGAGTTGGCGTTGATTGTAGTTTTGAAAGGGATTTTCGACAAATAGATTTTGCGTCGGTCAATGAATTGTATTTCAAGTAGCGTTAGTGTGGTGTGCAAGTGAAGTTGTATCCCCCGAAAGACTTGATAGAGAAATGCACACATATTTGTCAATCGAATGATGGAGTGAAATGGCTATCATCTTTTCCTTTTCGCATATAAGTTAAACAACAGAAAGCTATTTCAATCCATATCTCAGGTTAAGTAAATTCCCTTTAATTTATAACTTAAAATATATCCATTTTATCTTAATTACTTACTTACGCCTGTTGCCCCCAATGGAGTATAGGCCGCTGACCAGCATTCTCCAACCCACTCTGTCCTGGGCCTTCCTTTCTAGTTCCATCAAATTCTTGTTCATTTTCCTCATGTCTGTATCAGTTTCTCGGTGTAATGTGTTCTTTGGTCTTCCTCTTCTCCTTTGGCCTTCAGGATTTCGTGTGAGGGCTTGCCTTATGATGCAGCTGGGTGCTTTCCTCAATTTTTGTCCTATCCACTTCTTATCCGCTTCTCCCTGATTTCTCCCTCCACTGGGATCTGGTTCGTTCTTTCCCACAGTACGTTGTTGCTAATAGTGTCCGGCCAACGGATTCGAAGTATTTTATGTAGACAACTGTTAATAAACACCTGTATCTTCTGGATGATGGCTTTCGTAGTCCTCCAGGTTTCCGCCCCATACAGTAGAACTGTCTTGACGTTTCTATTGAAAATCCTGACCATGGTTATGGTTGACAGTTGCTTTGAGTTCCAGATGTTCCTCAAATGTAAATATGCTCCTCTTGCTTTGCCGATCCACGCCTTCACATCTGCATCAGATCCACTCTGTTCATCAATGATGCTGCTCAGGTATGTAAAGGTTTTTACACCTTCCAAAGCTTCTCTGTCAAGTGCGATTCGATTGTTGCATGCTGTGTTGTATCGGAGCATCTTGCTTTTCCCGTTGTGTATGTTGAGACCTACTGCTGTTGAGGCTGGTGCTACACTGGTCGTCTTCTGCATTTGTTGTTGCGTGTGCGATAGAAGAGCCAGATCATCTGCGACGTCCAGATCGTTCAACTGCATTCTAGCTGTCCGCTGTATTCCATGCTTACCCTCAGATGTTGATGTTTTCATGATCCAGTCGATCATCAGGAGAAAGAGAAAGGGTAAGAGTAAGCAACCTTGCCTGACACTGGTCTTTACCTCGAACGAGTTTGTCAATTGCCCTCCATGCACGACTTTGCAGTTTAGTCCATCATAGGAATTCCGTATGATATTGACTATCTTCTCAGGTACGCCATAGTGTCGAAGAAGCTTCCATAGTGTTGTCCTGTCCACGCTATCAAATGCTTTTTCGTAGTCATTGAAGTTGATGTAGAGTTATGAATTCCATTCAATCGATTGTTCCACAATGATCCGTAGAGTTGCGATTTGGTCTGTACACGATCTATCCTTACGGAATCCTGCCTGTTGGTCTCGAAGTTGGGCGTCTACGGAGTCCTTCGTTCTGTTTAACAATACCCTGTTGGAAACTTTTCCTGGTATTGAGAGAAGAGTGATGCCCCTGTAGTTAGCACAGTTGCTGAGATCGCCTTTCTTTGGTATTTTGACCAGTAGTCCTTCTTTCCAGTCTGTTGGTACTTGTTCCTCATCCCAAATCTTATTGAAGAGAATGTGGAGTATCCTTGCAGTTGCCGCCACATCTGCTTTCAGTGCATCTGCTGCAATATTGTCTGGTCCTGCTGCTTTGCCACTCTTGATTTGTCTGATGGCCATGCTGATTTCTTCAAATGTTGGTGGACCAACATTGATTGGGAGGTCCGTGGGTGCTACTTCGATATTGGGTGGGTTCAGTGGAGTCGGTTGATTCAAGAGTTGTTTGGAGTTTTCTACCCACCTGTTTCGTTGTTCTTCAATGTTGGTGATTAACTTGCCCTCCTTGCTTTTTACTGGTCATTCTGGTATACGGTGATTTCCAGAGAGTTTCTTTGTTGTGTCATACAGTTGTCTCATGTTTCCTTCTCTTGCAACCTTTTCCGCCGTCATTGCTACATCTTCCACGTATCTACGTTTGTCAGTTCTGATGCTCCTCTTCACTTGCTTGTTCACCTCTGTGTATTCAGCTTGTGCCTTGGCTTTTTCTACTCTTGTTCGACTGGTATTGATCGTTGCCTACTTGTTCCTCCTTTCGATCCAGTGTATCAACAGTGATCCATTCCTTGTGATGGTGATTTTTGTGGCCAAGGACCTCATGACATGTTGAAGTGATTGTCTCTGTTACCCCTTTCCAGTTACTCTCCATTGGTAGATCACGAAAGGCCCGGAACCTATTGCTGAGGACTATTTTGAATTTTTGAGTTTGTCAGTATCCAGAAGAAAAGCCATATTAAACTTTTGTGCTGTTTTCCGTCTTGTTGTCTGGTGCTTCTTGAGTTTCAACCTCATCTTGGCGACCAGCAAGTGATGATCTGATGTTATATCAGCTCTTCTCTTGGTTCTCACGTCCTCCATCGTCCTCCTGAACTTTTTGTTGATGCAGATATAGTCGGTTTGGTTTTGCGTAGTGTGATCCGGTGAAGTCCATGTGATTTTGTGAATGCGTTTATGTGGGGATACAGTGCCACCTATGACCAGTTTATTAAAGGCACATAGGTTTGCAAATCTCTCACCATTTTCGTTCCTTTCTCCCAGTCAGTCCATGTCGTCCCATGATGTCTTCATATCCGGTGTTGTGCATTTCAACCTTGGCATTTAAATCTCTCATCAGAATGGTCAGGTCCTTTGTTGGGCACTTCTCGACGATTGACTACAGCCTATCGTAGAATTGATCTTTGACTTCTTCATTGTAGTCGTTGGTAGGTGCATAGCATTGGATGACGTTCATTGAAATGCCCTCTTTCTTTGTTTTGAAAGAGTCTTGCTTAACCTTAGTTTAAGTAAATTTCTGTTGTTACGACTGTTGACCCAATAGCTTTGTATATGTTCTATAGAACGTTTGTGAAAGTTTAGTATCAGCTGAAGAATAACATTGAAAAAATATTTGCATCGAACTAGTTCTGTGATAATAGATGAATTACTATATTTGGAAAATCCAAGAGAAAAATACTTAACATTAATTAATCATAATCTTTTAATGAATTTCACCATAATCTTTCCGTGAAAATCGAAATCCCTTAGATTACAATATATAATCTCTGATACCATTACTGATTTATGGTACGATTATAAGGTATAATAAGATTGAATTCGCAAGGGCTGAATTAAATCAACCTGGTATAAATTAAACTACTGTTCAAGGAACAGATCTCTTCAATGTGAATAGTCAGTACTGTTTGCTATTTCCAAATATCCTTCAGATTTCAACAAAGAACTTAAATAACTACATAGCAAACAGTTCAGTCTTTTAATTGTTTAAAGTAAGTGCTAGTTCTAAATGTAATTGGTATTTATTTAGCTATTGTTGTTACATGGCATCAAATAAGATGCTCCCATTACTCACTGACACTATATTTTAACTTTTATGCTGAAATCAGTTGAACAAGATTCGAAGAAACAGCCCTCTTTTTTTTCTTGTCTATGAATATATACTAGCTACTGTTTTTTATTAATCTGTGCATGCTTGTCAGAAATGTACTTAACCAATTCATTTCTAATAAAACATGAAAACGTACATATTCAAATTCGTAGAAATATCATCAAGTTCAATGATTAATTGACGAATAACATCTTCTAATTTAGATTTTGTTTTGAAATCATTTAAATGATTTTGCAAATCTTGATAAGATTCTTTGAAACATGAAGTAATCCATTCAGCATCATCATCATTATCAATACCAGTTTCATTATAATATTTATTCTCATTGGATATAATATCATCATTCTCATTAAAACCAGTATTTATAACAGTATCTTCATTATTCATTCCCATTGTATTATGTTCAATTGCTTCAATTCTATCCATTTGATGTAAACATATTTGTTTTGATGAATTAGTTTCTAGATTATTTGAATTATTCAATTTATAATTATAAATTTTTTCAAATAATGCCTGTTGTTCAGAATTACAATTTCTTAAACAAACCCATATAACTAAACTAGATAACCATTCGGTAGTTAATTGACATACTATTGATCGTTTCATATCAATTTTATTAACATTATTGACTAAATTTAAATTTAATTCACATAATCTTTGATTTAAAATTTGTTGCATATTTATAATTAACTTTAATGTAGATTGATCATTTAATTGAATAGTTAACTTTGTTTGATTAAATCTAAAATTAAAATATAACAGTTCATTGTAAACAAAGAGATTACATATAATTTGAATTAAAAACAAATTAATAATAATAAATCAACTAAATTCATTTACTTTTTATTGAGATCATGAACCGATTGATGTTAGACCACTATTCAAAACCTGGAAGCACTGGACGGCCGTTTCGTTGTATTGTGGGACTCCTTAGAAGTGCGAATCCACGACCCCGCCCTCGGAATTCGAACCCGGGGCCTTCAGTCTCGCGCGCGAACGCCTAACCTACTGAACCACTGAGTCAGCATCCAATGGTGCTAATGTCTAACCTCAACCAATCCACGAAATTGCGCGACCATCTTCCATTGTACTGAGGTAGACACCTGTTTCTACCCGACACGGATTAGCTCTACTGGCCATTCATTTATTAAACTCAATCATATTTCTTCTTTGTCAATAGTCTAGGAGTTAACATTTAAAAGATCATTAAAAATAATTATTAATTAATACTAATCAGTTACTGACTATTAATCAATTTTTTGTCTGTTTGTTACCAAGGTTTAACTCGGTGTTTTCAATATACTGAACATTGTTATTAATCAAAAGAAAGAGAACATTTTTAGTCCCAGTGAGTAGAAAAATAAGATTTTTGACGTTTTGTAACTTAGTGTAAGGTGCTTTTTTCAGGGAATAGGAATAAATAACAAGCCAAATCAGCACAAGCTTAAGTAGTATAAAGTGCACAAGCAGAATATTTTTAGTGCAGTCAAAATTAAAGTAGATCTGATTGTGTTAATATTGTCATTTCGATAAAGGTTTTTTCTATATTAAGAGATCTAGCTGTGTGGGTGAGACTTTTATATATGCCGACTGAACGATGCTAAAGTGACCTTTCGGGAATTTATCCACTTTCTAGGGTTTAACGAGGGTTGTAAATTAGTGTGAGGAATTAGGATTAGGATTTAGAGTTAAGAGATAGGGTTGAGAATTAAGGTTAGGGTTTTCAGCACGAAGAGACACTAGCCATAATTCCAAAATGTTATCTAGACATTTGGATGAATGGGTTTCAGGCAAAAACCCAAGACTAACTATCTTTAATCTCATTGGTTTGCCCATAAATTATAATCTCTCCTCTATGTGTAATTGTGTGTAGGTAAGTATGAAAAAAGTGGTGTTCGTAGTGTGAATGTCAGGTTAGGAATATTTATATGGTTATTTGACTTTTGTCTAAATAAGTTTGAAGCCTGAAGCTGCTTAGCTTCGAGATAATTCCTTAGACTTCGTTTACCAATTCCCTTAATAACCATGATTAAATAAATTCCAATGGTCTATGAATTCAGAAGACAACACTAAGAGCCGACTACAGTTTATTATTGGATAGCGCAGGTAACAAAGTTACAGGCATACCAAGCGAATTTGAGCAAAAAGGCTAATAAGCGCGAGCAAGCGAGTACAGATGCGGATTCAGAGTCAAATCGAATCGAAATGAAGCAATTAATAAGATTCAGGCACATCAATATATAGGAAAGTAAACGATTCATCAAGCGATATTCGCGTAACTAACATTTAAGCTAGGGAGAGATATGTGCGTAGGCTGTCACATATAATTAAGCATACACGTTTATACGAACATGATAGTAATAATAATAGCACAAAGAAATAGACAAATTGTTACTGTTCGAATAACACTGTCCATCAAATAAGTTAGTAAAAGGTCTCGACAAAATTAATCGTTAACGAACTTAATTTTAGGAGAGGTGCTATAAGCCAAAGTGATTTTTGCAGTCCGTGGATAACCCAAGTTGAAATCAATGCACCGATTTCAGTATGTCAGCTTGAGGTGGATGGTTAGATTTGGACTTCCATCTGAATTTCTTTTGACTAAACAGTCTAAAAATAGCAGTTCATCGGGTCCATTTTCGAAGGCGAATTGTATGTGGACTGAAAGAGTATCCAATAGCTTAGAAAAGTTCCTGAGGAAAGTCTTTTTCATGATGATGAAAGCGCCATATACATATCTGAGCTAAATGCATAGTCTGACATTACTGATAGAAATATGCTGTAGGGTCAGTGAAATGTCACTGTGCCCTAGACAAGTCGTCCGGCAGTCGGGTCACTGAATATCGAACAGTTTACCGATCTTCTTCAGTGACAAGGATAACCAACGTGCGTCAAACAATTGCACGCTATGGATTGCCCCATGCAGCAGAGGTCGCACTGTTCCGGTACCTACTCTTATTCATACATTTCTGTCATAACGTTATGCTTTGGTTATACAGTCATAAAAATAACCATAGTTTCCGGATACGACGGAAGGGTAATCCACGTTAGGTATTAACTGCGATGTATGATTTTGATATAAGCTGGAAAGTCACACCATTCACGTTCAACTAGAGTAAACCCCAAATCATTGACGCAGACCGCGGACAGTGATCTACAATGGAATTCTGTATGAGACATTAACAAATACGCAACAATCAATGGCACATGTGATCCCTTGTCTACTCCATTAGTTTGTTTATGTAAAGTACCTTTGAACACAAATAAGGCTGAATTCAGGCAGATTTGGGGTGGTTCCATTATTAAGCTTATCCTCAATGGGGATCCGTTAGATACCATTCTCTAGTAAAACATCAATATAATCGAGACATATATCGATAGAAATAGGGAGATTTCTAGTATGTTAAGGGGTTTTCTGTGTTAATTCAAATTTAATCCTTTTTTCTAGGAGAGTGATTTCGTGCTTATTCAGAGTTCTGCCTGAGATATCATAAGCTTCTTTTAAGTCATCAGAATCAATTTTCGTAATCACTGTTTTCTTTCCATGTATTCTTTCTCTAATCTTTTCACATTTATTGATTTGGTTAGATTTTGAAGGACTTGTGTTAGTTTAATTTATTTTTTCACCCTTTCAAATAAATGGCTTACGCTAAGTCACGAAACGTCAGAAATCTAATTCTATACTCATTGGGACTTTATAAATATATATTATTTCTATTATTAATTTTCTATATGTCAACTTCTTGGCGTTAACTGAATGATATTGATCAAGTTGTAATGTACCTACCAAGGGGCGTAATTAGACACTGCGGTTTACTTTTTCATGTTAAATAGTTTCAGTCAAATGTAAATAAGGGTTGGACCTACCATTAGGCTTTGACTGGTATTAGTCATCAAGGAGTGTCTGAAATTTCGTAATATAGTATGAGTAGATAATATCATCAAGATCACAAACACACCTTTATGACGTGAGCTATTCGGTATAAATCTAGACTAGATACTTACTGTTCACTACTTCGATTTATCTGACATACTTTACTTACATTATTCAATGTATTTTAACGAAACGTTTCAAAGTACATGGAGCAAATAATAACACAAAAATAAAATAATAAAACTTTTGATTAAATGTACTTAGCTATTTAAGAGTAATGATAATGAACAAAATCAGTATCTCACTTTTCGGATGGATCAACAGATCGTCAGTGATTGCCATAAAGAACAAAACAAGACAAATGATCATAACAGAGGATAAAACAGCTTCTAGTTGACTAGCTTAATACATGACAGCATTTCAAACAGAGATTTTAATTAAGATGACTCGAAATCAATTATTTTAAAGATATTTTCTTCTTTTAAACACTTTAGTAGTTTAAACCTTATCACTATGTGTGTGTGCATGTACACCAAAGAGAGAATATTGGTAGTTTGAACTTCATCAGAAGTTCTAATGGATTACATATAACGGCTGAACAAATACATCTTTTATTTTTGCCGTATGAGAGTCAACTAACAAACGTTGTTACTGTCTACCGGTTCATAATTGACCAGTCCATCTAAAAACATTTTTTACTATTAAAATGTCACGTAAAATAGTGGTTAAGAGAGAGACATTACTGATGCAAACCATATTGACAAAATTCATAGATGAGAGATGAAGGCTATAATCCTTCAATTATACGTAACATAGAATCTATCACACGTTTACGTTAATTCAAGTTTTCTCTCCCTGTAGTGAGGGAGAACACAGGTGTGGACAATCGACTATATGCAGTATCAAATTACTGAGTTACTTGGTAAAATAGAAAAGCCATACTCCAATACTTCATTTGCAAAAGGTTCATTAATTGTCTCAGACTTGATTGTTCCTGCATTTCCATACCAATTTCTTTCTGTTCCCATTGTTCCCTCCTCGGTCTTCTCAAACTTCTGCTGCCAGACATTCTATCCTTGACTAACTTTATAAACTACTTATATCGACATAAGTAGCACACACCACAGCCCCAGTAGGAAAGTTATATGAAATTATCAAGTTAGATCCCAAAGTAGTAGCGGTAGTAACAGTATTAGTGGTGGTTGAAAAGATTTCGGATGGGAGATGTGATTCATGAAGAAAATATGAACGAGTGGGATAAGAAAATAATTTATAAGGTAATTTAGAAAATTAGAATTTGAGGGAAGACAAAGTGTGAATACACGTGGCATATTGCGAACGATTTTGAGTCATGTCGCTCAAAGTCTCTGACCACTGGTTATTACTAGACACTATTATTTGAAAGACATAGCACGAAACTATATAATAATCCCCTTACCACATAAAATACGAAAGGGGACTAATTGTAGTTAACCAAACTCCCTGGACTTAAAGTTTTGATTGAACGTTCTTATTGAGTCAAGTTCTGTGGATGAATCAAGCACATGAACTCCTAAGTTTAAGATGTCTCTTCATTCAACGAATTTTGAAAATATTACTAACTGGTAACTATCTTGTAGTTTCCAACTTTCTTACATGTAGTTATTAAATGGGATAGTGTGAACGTTTGACTCATTAACTATATTGTTAAAGTGAAGTCAAAGATAACAATGATTATACTTACTTATCATTTTTATCTCTGTCTTCTTCTCCATCTACAGATAATTTATCCACAACGGAATTCGATTGAAAAGGATCGCAGTCATCTAGTTTCATTAAATCTTTCCATTTTTTGAATCTCTCTCGTAATTCGTTTAAGTCGAAAAGTGGTCCTTCTTCCTCTTGTCCATTGTTTAAATTATCTTTAAGTTTTTCAATCATATGAACAAAAGTTGATATGCCTAAGTCATTTAAATCGATTAGTTTGATTAAATTACGTTCTTGAATTGTCAGTATACTTGATAATCTCTTCAGATCAGGAAAACAGACAAAATTTTAATTAGGAACTTGTGAAACGTAGCAGAAATATATTCATAATACACAATGTAGACTAAATTAAATAAGAGTATTCGTTAAGGGAAGAACGATATCAACTTCATGTTCTGATTTACCATATATTACATTTTAATGGATTCAAAACACTGCTTGAAATGAATTTCTTCTGAATCAGTTAAATATACATATCAGAAGGAATTTTGTGAATATTTTATTAATTTTAGTAGTTGAGATCATGAGTCAATTGAAGCTAGACCACCATAGAAAACCTGGAATCGCTGGACGGCCGTTTCATCGTATTGTGGGACTCCTCAGAAGTGCGCATCCACGATCGCGCATCTCGAGATTCGAATCCAGGACATAACCATTAAACCACTGAGCCTGCATCCAGTGGTGTTAATGTCTGATTTCAACTAACTCACGAAATTGGGCGACACACCCACCATTGTCACCAGTGAGTTACTATCTCACAACAGACCCGGCTGAACTCCACTGGTTACTGTTTCTCACCAAAACTTCAGGAAATACCTACACATATACTTAAAGTGCATTCAATCTAGCTGCTAATGACTAATTTAAATTAACCTAAATGCGACCATCTAGGCTCAATACCCTGGAGTTTAATATGTGTATAGTTATAATGTAGGTCAATTTTATGTATACTGGAGAATTTCTTACTTTGAATTTGTTTATGAACTTACGATCAAATAGTATTTTAAACAGTGACTAACAGTAGGATCTGAAATATGTGTTTTATTTTACTTGTAACTTGTCAAATGGATAGACTTTTATCGTAGTCATGACGGGTTCTAAATAAGATGAAAAGTTCGTTGTCAATTCCTGTCATAGGAAGTTGTAAAAGTAGTCAAAATTGAAAAATCCGTTGAAGAATACCACAAGCTGACATAAATGAATCAAATTCACATAGATCATGAACAAAAGCTAGATAGCAAAGGATAGTTATTTCATCCTGGCATGAGATCATGGAGAAGCACTGAGAGAAAATTTTAAAAATATCACAAAACAACTTTAGTGCTTCGTATATTTTTCTATAGCTCCTAATCGAATATTAATTTGTTACGAAAAGTATTCCCACATTGAACTATTCTTTATGGAGCATTCAAACAAATTATTAAAATCTAAATCTAAAGGTTTTTGCATGATAATTCTGCAAGAAACTAGTTAATTTCATTTGGTTTTGATTACAAGTTGAATGTACCTATTATGTTATCCAGAAAAATCCAAAATCTATTTCGTGCCAGCATATTTTACTAATAATTATTTACATACCATTTACATGAATGAATCCACACTCATCAAGGAAGGTTACAAGCCGTATTAAGCGCATACTTTACATGACTTCTGCAACAGAATCAAATAATAATTGAATGTTCAATGACTATCAAGTACTTAAAAGTAGTAATTTCGTATTGATTGTTGGTCTGTTGGTAATGGCCTCATACTTAATCCGTCTAAATGTCAAGCTGTTAACTTTAGCATGAGACATGAACGGAATCTAAACGCCATTTTGAGATCCCATAATGCTTGTGTCATTGGAGACTCTTTGATAAACACAGTGTCGAAAATCAATTATCTTGGTGTTACCTTTTCCTCTGATCTCTCTTGGTCTTCCCACGTTTTATTGTTATCGAAGAAGGTTTTCCGTCTAACTGACTACATAAAGAGATTGCATGCCCTTGGAATTACTCGTCATTTACTCTTACAATTTGTCAATTCTTGCATATTACCTATTATACTTTATTGTTCTCCACTATTCTTTCCCGGACTTTTGAGGAAAGACTTCGCTGTATTGCGGAGAGTGCTGAAGGCAGTTAGCAAGATGTGTGGTGAATCTTTCGAGGTCATAATTAATATGGTTGTGGATAGACATCTAAAGTCATGCAAACTCCTGGAAGGTGTTATTTTATCAGATACTAACCATCCCCTTCACTCTTATATTTCTCTTTGTATATCTTCTTGTAGAACGAGACGTAATTACATTAAAATCCATGCACGCAAGCAAAAGTATAAAAGTTCTATAATACCTTATCTAGCAAATATAATCTGTGACGAACAGCTTGTTAGAGTTAACATAGCCAATAACCTGCATTCTTAACATGTCTCTAATTTGAAAAGTTGTACAGTTTCTTTTCAATATTTTTTTAAACCTCTTTTTCCCTGTTCTTTTGTCTTTGTTACTGTTTTTTTTGCATAAGTAACTTGTTGAAAAACCTTGTGCTGAGAATTCTATATTGTACCAAAATATAATATTGAATAAAGCCATTCACAATAATAATAATAATAATAATAATTAACGTAAAATATCATAATGAATTATTTTCCTTTAAAGAAGAATATTTGACAAATTTATAAAACTTACACAAAGTACATCTTCTAAATCATTGATATTATTTGTTAAATTCAACCAATTAAATAATCCTGATGATTGTTGATCATTTAAATTTTCTTTCATAAATACAAATAATTCATGAAATTCATCTGTTGCTGATTTAAGTAGTAATTTTAAATCAGATAAATTTAATTCAGCTTTTAATATTTTAAATAGTTGTTTATAAAATTTTGGTTGTGCAATATTTTGTGAACTACAATTTAATCTTACATTTGAAATAAAAGTTCCATGTTTAAATATTTTATTATTTATTGTTTGATTTTGTTTAAAATTTTCATCATTATCTTTAATAGTTTCATCATTATCTTTTATTTCATTTATATCAGTTCTATCATATTGGCATGTATTCAAACCAATTTGATTAATTAATTCACATTTTTTCATTGTCCACAATTTATCTATGTTGTTTAACAACTAAAATTCATTGAAATAAATTATATGAGAATAATTATCACATTTTCAATTTGAAATGTATCATAGGAATATTAATATTTATTGATATCATTATGTTATACTGTTATCGATTTTCAACGATATCCATCCGATACTCTCACCTAGGAATTTCATCTCATTTAGCTACTTCTACATATTCCATATCGATGTGTGACAAATGTTCAAGTTTTTTTCAACCTTATTATACTTCTGTCAATAATCCACTTTTTGGCTATCGGCATTAAGTTTAGTAGTGATATTAGTTGACTGAAATAATTAGTACGTGTTCGTTTAAAAAAAACACATTGAAAAGGTTATTTATGCATCCCACACCTGAATACTTAATATTATTTCACTCGGAGGTTCGACTTTAAATTAGCAATGGTTTCGATACATATATATATTCATGGTAAGCTTATTGAGTTTTTTGTATGTACCACATTAAATATTTGTAAATTGCTACTTAATCTGTCAATATACCCAGCTATTCCGCTCTATACATCTTGAAGCGGTGTCAAAACTGATATGAGGAGATACTTCGTAAACTGAATATTTTTTTCTACAGAATATATGGTGTTATCTTGTTATGAAAATTTTATGTTAGTATGAGTATAGTTTTGCTTGATAAAATTAGAATCTATGTTAACTAGATGAGTTCATTTTAGACAGAGCTCTGTAACGAATAAATTACATACATCGAAGCAACTCTAAGATAGAATAAGTAATTTAGCACAAACTATTTTCATACGCTTGGATGTTTCACTGTCATTAAATGAATGCATGAAAAATAATCTTCCAGCTACATTTTCTATTTGGCTTTTAAATATCATTGTGGTAAAATTAGGGTTAGTCGAAGTATTGTATACGAACCCAAATTTAAGGTGTACTTTATTTTCATTAACTGGAGCCAGAATACAGGTTATAAAGTGATGAGCTCTTTTTTTATAAATTAGAGAGCACTGGCAAAAGAATATAATTCGAAAAACTAGATGCAATCTATATGTCTCAAATCTATTATAAATTATTTAGTCAATAAATGAGTTCAGTGCAGCCAACAAATCAAGTGCATGTTATAGACCGAACGCACTCATACAAACCGTTATTTACTGTTACTACGATTTATTTTGCCGATAAAAGTATATACCGACTCTCCATTTCCTAACTATACCAATTATAGCACAATTATGAGCATAATTCACTAATACAGTTATCGTTTAACGAATTAAATATTCCTATCTTGCATCCAAAGGTTTTGTACCTTTTGTATGGAAGACTCTTTAATCATTTGTCAAACACAGTCTCAATTATTCTGCATTTATGTAATATTCTCATTAAGATATTAAAAATTCAAGTTGAGCGAAAAAAATACATCATTTCGACTAGTTCTTCATCAAGTGTCCTTACTAACTGGTTATTATATTATTTAAAGTTGATCCATCGTCGTTTATTTGATATTGATTCTTTTGTATAACTATCAAACGTATACTATAGTGTGGAGCTTTGCTGATGAATCAAATGAAGAGATGCTTCTGTTGCTTAACTTGTACTCTCTATACTCTTACCCCCGACCATGCTTTTTTCGGTATATTCAAGCTTTTCGATGTTGACCTTCAAGATTCATTTAGCTGTTATATTATAGGCGCCTAATCGTCTTTACTACTTCACATCATTTCAAATTATTGAAACTAACATTTTTTTCTATACTCACATGTATACACCATATGTGTATTGGTTTTTCAAACAAGGATGATGCTTGTACATTACGAAATTTTTATTTTACTCAGATCATTCTCGCATATCATGTCTTATATACAAATGATATTAATTAGGGTCACATTGATTTTAAGCTTTCAATTTTGTTATTACACCAACATCTTAACACAGTATACTTCTCGACGTCTGACAAATTCTCTTTTTGCGATTTTTTTGGTACTCTTTATGTATTGTATATATGCTAAACATAACCACCCCATCATCTAGACTTAAAAAATAACAAACACTTGATCAAATTTACGATCGCATTGTGAGCTGGTCTAACAGATTGACACAAAGCGTTGCGTTATCTGACTTTTGCATATATAACCGTAACATTGTTTTATTATGGTTATATTATTCATATACACTTAGTCTTTACCTTTCATTTATGTACACTTTTATGTCAATGTGAACTACATAAGCTGAGACACAAGCCTATTTTAATAAGGTGGTTGACAGTGCCTTTTCGCTCTTCATCCATCAATTATGGTCTGTCTATTAATATGTATGCATGAAATTTGTACCTCTCACGTACATTCGTGTCCGAATTATTTTTTCCAGTTTTCAATAAAGAGATCCAATCAACGTATATGTAGGGACTAGATTAAGGAGCTATGTTTCATGGTCGTCATCAAGGAGAATCAACCAACGTGGCAACAATATTTATATACTTATATTTAAAATTCGCTCATCTGAAGAACTCACTCAAAATGGTTTAAACTTGGAAAATGATTAGCAAATAGGTCATAAGAAAGTAACTAACTTTTTGTGCTGTTTCTAGAATATCAGTCAGTAGAATGGTAGCACGCGTTGTATATTCTGGACTTCTATTTCTTACCAAAGAAAAAGATGATATTGAACTATTTAGTTAAATACAAATTTAAGTTTTTAGTAGAATAAATAAATTCATTTTTCTGAAAGATTTTGAAAGTTTGAGCTATCTTGAAATAGCAAAGAAACCATGAAACCACATCCAATGGGTTTCCGTAATACATGGTAAAAAAAGAACTTGCAGTTTCGATTAAGCAAATGCTTGTTAAATGTAATTATTCAGTACGTAGTTATCAAACAAATAATGAATCATCTTTTAACATTATGAACACTATATTGTCTGGCCTTGTTTAAATCAATAAACGCTGAAGCATAAACTTATTTTTGACGGAAAACATTGAATGTGGATTATCACCTCTAAGGACTTGAATGTTATTTTAAATAAACAAAATTACTCATTTTATTTAATTTTATTTAGATAGACTAACCGGATTAACACAAGAATTTCTGAGGTCAATTATAAGTTTGTTTTAAAATCCATGTCAGTAAAATAAATGGTTTTCCATGAATTAACAGAATTTATACTTGTGATCACACCTGAAAAGGTCAAGTACAATCCTAAAACACAGGCTTACTTCTTTGCCTATTATTTTTATTCATCTCATATTTGAAACAAAACGTTTTATCTAAATTCCAATCAGTTCTGTAGTTTCAATACTATTCAGCTATTTTTCTCAGGATTTACAATTTGATGAATTTGTACACAGCATAAGACATACATAATCCTATTATGGTATTCTATCCGGTTCCCTTGCACTACATACTTCCTAGCGCTTAGCCAGCCAGATATGCAATGTAAAAAAACTAAACGCGCGAATAAATCTCTATTGCCAATATTAAATGAACATGTACGTACGTCATGCGTATATTTACATATTACTGAGCCGATCCAAACAATATATGAAGGCAGTGAACATAGCTGGAGAAAAAATCCACTCACTCACTGTAAGCCCACCCAAGATGCTGAGTCTTACCTGCTATATGTTTTTCCAACAGCATATGATCTATCTGGTCATTTAGCAATAAATTATCTACTTGGTTTTGCCTACCCAATCAAATATTTAGAACCTAGGGTAGGATTTTAAAATCTTTAAAGCAAAGGACAGTTGTTTCTTATACAGTCTACTACTTTTCAGCATCATCTGTCCATTACTCAAAACTCTATCTGATGCGGAACATTTACATTTTGCAGTGAATATGAAACTCTTGACCCAATGGGTCTAGATTTTAACGCTAAAAATCCCGAACACATTAAAATACTGATAAACAAATGAAAAATACTCTTGTCAATAAATTCTTTACCGGTTTTACAATAATATTTATCCAGATTATCAATCCAAAAAGTAACTAAGTTTAAGGCAAATATATAGTTTAAATTTATAGTATGTGAATGTAAAATAGTTTGTAAAATAGAATAAAATTGTTGAAATGGTCAAGACAGGATGTAGAAATACAAATCCAATCAAATGTTTTGTTTATTAAGTTATATGAATTCAATAGTAAATAATTTAATATAAAATAATCAAGTGGGGTGAGTACTAACTAAATTAATCGTGTGTTCGAAAGAGTAGTAGTGAAGTTAAACCAATAATAATAACAGTACTAAGATATATGAATAAAAATAACAAAGGTAGTATTATTTGACTAACAAAGATTGTACGTATGATTAATCAAATTAGGTCATTCTACAACTAAGATGACTATTGATTTTTTGGTTAACCAAGGTAATAGAAGGGGTTAAACATATATCTTTTGCACATATAGATCCGGTTTTTTTTATGTGAATAGCTGTTGTTTCTGCCGTTTGGAGGACTTTGAGTCGGGCCGACTTTGACGGAAAATTATTGAGAATGACTGATTTATTCTGGTGCTACGATCAGTTTGCACTGAATGGGCTAGGGCACTGAGGTTATGGGCTCACGATGTGATTCTATTATGAACGAACAATAAATCAGCCTCGAACACAAATTCTCCGTTTGATTTCGTAAATTCAACTTATGTTAATCCCATTTGGGGAATGGAGGTCAAAAGCCAAATATAAATTAAGTTGGAAGAATTTATTTCAGACATTCTTTATTCCAGATAGATGATGAGAGATACGAAACAGGGAAGGCGAAAGTGTCAACTCAGTGAGTCATGTGTGACTCAATCTTTATAAACATAAAGGAGACAGACACGTACGTACTAGAATGCATATATGTATAAAGCATACTCAGGTTCATGCAAGGGCAAATATATGGGTGATCGGACAAATAAAAAATCAGAATAATTTATCTTTAAATGTTAGAACAGGTCACGTAGGCTTGTGATGACAGAGATTCGCTACAACGTATTTACTATCTTGGATATACTTTTGCTTAGCCGAGCTGGAAGGTGATCTTGACGATGAAATTGTAAATTTCTGTATCTTCGATTAATAAAACATGCTCCACAAGAGCAGTCAAACTGAGAAATAGAAAACGAAGTGGACATTCTAGATAATTCACCTTTAAGCCTCGGTGTCATCATTGGGAGAGAGAAAAACGGTATTCTTAGTTTTCCGGCATTCAGTGTTCGTTGGATTGTTCTACCTAATCTCTGAAGTAATATCTCACCGGCTGCATTACTTCTGAACTGCAGGCGCATGAGCAGGTATTTCTTATTCACTGTTTGTACTTCATGTAGTCTTGATTTTGTGGTCAGATATTTGTTTATAGACTTCCCAGGGTGACCATTTTCCCCAAAAGTATTACGTAAGACGTCTAGTTCTTGTTCACTTGTATTAGTGAAACATGGTGCGTATTAGATAACTAATAGGTTTTGTCGGGTTTCTTTTGTACTGTGGAGAGGCAAAGTTAAAGAAAGGTATGTACTGTACTGCCCGGGTGCTTTCACTGTTTAAGTTCTTTTTTATTGACCCATCAGCTGTTTTCGTCAATCGAACGTCCAAAAGAGCTATTCTACTCACACTTCTTTAACTCTACATTTGGTGGTTGAGAGTAAATCGCCTAATAACTTTTAGTTGTAATGTACTGTATTTGCGGAGGATGAACGTGCCATCCATATATCAACAGTAGGGTGCGAACTTTAGAATAAACTGTTTAATTGGACCACTTTTTTAAATTTAGCTATAAAAATATCAACTAGTATGGGACTTAATGCTGAACCCATTGCAATTTCATCGATTTGTCTTTAAAACCTGAAATCCATATTCATAGTGCATTTTAGTAATAACTCCTTTATCAAATTAATTGGAATTTTAGTAACTGCTTCGTCTTCTCTTAACTATTCACATATATATTCTACAGTCCCAATGTATGGGACAAAACACAAATATGTAAGTGAATAGTTTTTAAAAGTGACCAGACTAACTTTCATCGCAAATAAAATAAAGGGTTTAATTGTATTTAAACGTTCACAAAAATCTGTGAGAACCGAATATCTTTTCCATCGTAGTATTAAACTCAATGCATACCCAAGAAACTCTCAGAAATCCAACGCAGTATCTCCATATATTGTGGATAAATCTTAGCCACTAGACCATTGGATGCCAATTCAGTGGTATATATTTCTAACTTCAGTTAATCCATGATATACCGACAACTGAGTGCTTAAACTCCGGTAGTCCTCAGTTCTAGAATTTCATAGACCTATACTGTAGTAAGTCCCTAGCAAGCTCAGGATTACAGTTTAAGTGAGGTGATTTTGTGCAGATTATCCTAATTTGTAGGTAGAATTCACCACAGATTAATATCATGTAGGGGTTGTGTGTGTGTACTGCTGCAAAGTCACATACAAGGTCGAGACGACTGTTCTGTAACCCCTGATTTTCAGTGGCGACGCAGAATGCCCACGAATTTAAATGAAAATAATCTCCAAAAAGTCACTTTCAGACCAGTAATAACATTGGAAATAAACCGATAATCAGTTCATTAGTTTAATTATATATTTATCAGATAAGAGGATGGAGCTACAGTTGTTTTGAAAAACAGCTTTTTAAAATGAACTTACAAATAACATTATTGTTATTAGTAGTATACTACATAATAGACTCATTAAACGCTGTTATACAGTCAGTACACTTACTTTACGTTATCCTCAAACGTTGGATGTAGATAAATTTCTAATTTTTCAGTTTTTTTCAACAAGTCATCCAAATGATACTTAGATGACATAAATAAGTATTCCAGACATTCAGAAAAGCGCATAATCCCTTCTGAACACGCTGCCAATGTTTCAAATAATTGTGTTATTAATTTTCTCATCAACAGAAATGATCGATCATACATAGTTAACCACTTATCTTTGGACATTTGGAGATGATCTATAATAGTCACCATGTTTCTATCACAAAACTGAAAGTATTTAAGATCGATGTTTGTTTAGAAAAAAAAACACTAAAAGATACATCGAACAAATATAACCTGAGAAGTTTCTCTGTAAGACGACATTTGTAAATACAATAACGTAAATGTAAGGTTTACAAAAATGTTGTCCCAGTAATTTGGATGATAGTTAAGAATTAATTAAATGAAGGTATTACTGTTCCTCAGTTGTGAAGTTTGAGTATCAGCAGTAAAATTATTAAAAACCATGGGATGATACATGTGTAGTTCGTATTAGCACGGGGCTCTGTAACAGTAGGCGTCGAAAACCCTGTTAGAAACCAAACCTAGGACTTCCGAGTCGCCAAGTAAATTAAAACCTAAGGTTTGTGCTGATGATGTCGTTCAGAAGAACGATGAAAGCTCCACGGCCCAACCGTCCAGCCCAGAGAACAAAACTCCATCAAAAGCCACCATCTTATTTCAACATAGTGAACGCAATGTTGAGTCACCTAGACTAGTGGCCACATTGCAGCTTAATCGGTAGGATTCGATCTAAACTAAGAAGGACCGGATATACATGACATTGATCACCACCCAGTGATCAATCAATTGTAAACACCTTTAGACTACTGAGTTAGAATTAAATAAATTCATATTTACAGCTTCAGTTACTATCACGTGGCAAGACATGTAGGAAAATAAATTTTCTTAGTTTAACATTTGTTTGTAAATATAGATTCTGTACATGAAATTTACACTCATGGCTTCACTTTTACTAGAAGTCGTTCTTTATCAGACACTTTTGTGAGTGCCCGTTCTATGCCATTTTAAGATACTTTTTATTAAAAACTAACATCGGTTGAAGAGGTACTAAAATTTAAAAAGCGTCAAAGAGCTGTTTATCTGGATTTCAAAATATCTATGATTAAATTTGAACCCAATGTATGAATGGTAATATGCTTGCCGTGAGACTTGCATGTCTTGAAGTTAAAAACAACTTTCCAGTCATTTCTGCTTTCATATGCTTCACTAGATGATGTTAAGTCCTGATGTTAGTTACTTCTGAATATTAATTTCTATAGAAGATATTGGAAATATTTTTGAGCTGTTTAGTAAACGTGTCATCAAAATAAATGCCTGATGTCTCAATGGTCTGAAATATAAATAATTTTTTTTTAATGGTATGGAATACATCATGATTGGATGTATTACCTCAATATCTGCTTTGGTTTTACTGTAATATGACGAGAAAAGCTGGATTTATTCTGAATAAGAATACTGTTATGATTAATGTTTCATCCACAAACTAATCAACAGGCTTCAGATTCCGTACTAGTAATCCGAGAATCCGATAATGAAAGTAAAAACATAAAGACAATAGATAGGGGTTTATCTGACCTCACAATTAAAGCAAAACAATACATGAATACACTACATTCTGTGTGATTTTTTTGCAGCCAGATTTTTATAAACTGGAATGAGTTGTATTGAACACTACTTTATCAGTAACTTACTGCGTGAAAACACCTTTACAGTATCGTAAAACTAAGCGTTTATAATAAACTAATATAACTAATAGATTGTTCCTTAATCACTCCTTCTTAAGATGGATTTACAAGTCACCGACAAAATCAATCTCAAAAATTATTCATATTCGAATGAACTTAGTACCTGTTCACCATATCAGTAGAAATTTAGGACACTGTAGGTTGGTTTTCAACTTATATTGTATTGATTTTGCGATCAGTAGATCGGATATCATCAGTTATTCTGCATAATGTACAGTACTTAGTTTTTTAACTTTCATCCGATAGATTGTCAAGTAAAGAACGACGAGTTTCAGTTCCGATATTATTCAAGTTTATCAATATTATTGTTATGTCCTATGCCCCGTCAAATATAGCGTGACCGAATCGCCGACTAGACCACCGGATTATATGATCTTGTCGCTGTGCCAAGCCAGTGATGCACTAACCAATACGAGCAGCCTTAGGTCAACTCTGAGTCCTTAATAGTCCCCTAAAATGGTAGCTTCTAGCCTAATTCAGCCCGTTCAATCCAGAAAACAAATATTAGCTTCCACTAAATGGATTATTTATTTCAAACATACTTGGTTTATATACCAGCCAAACAGACCACATCACACTGTAGCGGTAAACAAATCCCCAAAATAAATAGCCCTGTAAGTTTTCGACATTGGATGCTGATCATACGTTTTAGTGGACTCATCTAGCTGAAGGCGCTCGGTCAGGCATCCGCACCAGATCACGTGTGGTAACGCCCTGCTCAACATCAACCGCAATCGCTAGCCAGATTAGATCAGAGAATTCCGATATTTTGGTTATCGCCAAATACACTCTTCTGATCTCCTCGACTCTGTCTTTTGATTTCTCTCGGTGGGTACAAATCAAAATTAGGTGTTACTGGTGGAAGCGTTGTCAAACACTGAATACCTGTGTCATCACTCACTGGTGAGCCCGACGTGATCTGATACACCTAATTGCAACTGTGAGTCTGTTCCTTTTTGGGATTTTTATATACAATTGACTTATTTTTTAAACATTGTGATTTTTTTTCGTTTTTTCTTGGATAAATATATATTTTCCCCTCGTTCATTATCGTACTTCATATTTCATCATGACTGAACAGACACCTAAAGTACTCAAGCTTAAGACTTTGTCCCCGCCTTCGTTTCAACTCATGCCTTTCTGGCCCGACAACATCGAAGCCTGGTTCTGCTACGCAGAAGCCGACTTCTCCGAGCACGGCGTGATCGACACACGTGCACAATTCCTCGCAGTAGTCAAGGCGCTACCGCGCGAATTCAACAGGTACATAACACCTAGTATGTTTACTAGTGATGTTTCTGAACCTTACGAAACCTTAAAACGTTCGATTCTTAAACGAGGAGACCTAACCGATCGACAAAGGTTAGACCAACTCCTTAATAACATAGACCTGCAGCACGGTTCTGCGACGAACATGCTGCAAAGAACGAGAGAGGTTATAGGCCCAAGAACTTTCGACGAAGGTCTATTCAAACAACTTTTCTTGTCTAAACTTCCCCTACAGGTGCAAGCGGTTCTGGTCTCGTTTCAGAACAACGCCTTAGACGAACTGGCTGCATCTGCCGATCGTATTTTAGAAATTACGAAATCTACTACCGAGGTATTTTCAGTCAAAGAAAAGCCTCAAACGACTCAGAATGACATAACCGAGTTATGTCATACACTCACGCGCTATCTTAATCTTCGTACCGACCGTAAGAGATCGCGCACCCCACGTAGAAGTATTTCACGTAAGCGATCTGTCTCTAGACCACGAGAGACAGATAACCCCGACTGGTGCTGGTATCACAACCAGTATGGAAAGTCTTCCAGAAATTGCAGAAAACCCTGCAATTTTCCCAACACGAAACCGAGTGATTCGAAAAGCAATTCGGGAAACTTCCAAGCCGGTACGCGTTAACGGCAACCGTAGCCGGCAAACATACCCGTCTGTTATACGTCACAGAGGTGACAGCAAGAGTTCGCTACCTCATCGACACTGGCGCAGAAGTTAGCGTTCTCCCAGCGAATCCCAATGACCGGCTTAACGAATCGGCTCTAAACTTACAGGCGGCAAACGGAAAACCGATCGCTACATAAGGCAAAAGGTACGTTTACCTTAACGTGGGTTTACACAAACCCATCCACTGGGTCTTCGTTGTTGCAGATGTTTCTATGCCAATCATTGGTATGGACCTTCTACAACATCATAATCTAATCATCGATACGCGCAAACGGAGGCTAGTAGACGGAAACACTAATTTGTCCGTTTGCGTAACTTCCTTCTCTGGTTGCAGATTATCCCTAGTCACAATTAAGCATATGATAGACCCACTTTATCAGCCACTTCTCGATAAGTATCCTGGGATACAACAAACGCAACCGAAACTACCGTGTGTAACCAGCAACGTTACACATCACATCACGACTACAGGACCACCTGTATTTTCTAAAGCACGACGACTAGCTCCCGAAAAGCTGAGGTTGGCGAAAAACGAGTTTGACCATATGATAGACTTAGGAATCATACGACCGTCAAGTAGCCCATATGCATCTCCGTTGCACATGGTCCCTAAAAAGGACAGCAACGATTGGCGTCCAACTGGTGACTATCGGCGATTGAACGCGAAAACCATTCCCGATCGTTACCCGTTGCCTCACATTCACGATTTGACAGCTACCTTGAAAGGAACAACTGTCTTTTCGAAAATCAACTTGGTTAAAGCGTATAACCAAATCCCTATGGCTACTGACGACATTCCGAAAACAGCTATCATAACTCTCTTCGGACTCTATGAATTTTTGCGAATGCCTTTCGGTCTAAGGAATGCTGCTCAAACATTCCAAAGATTCATAGACGACGTTTTTTGAGGTCTCAACTTCGTACATGCGTATGTTGACGACTGTCTAATCGCAAGTCCGGACAGAGAAACACATCTCAAGCATCTGGATCTTGTTTTCGAACAACTACAAAAACATGGCATTACTGTAAACTTTCAGAAATGCCAATTCGGAACCGACTCATTAGACTTTCTGGGACACACTATCGATGCTCAAGGTATCCGACCCCTTATAACCAAAGTGGCAGCCATTCTGGATTACTCAGAACCGACCACCGTCAAGCAATTACGCACGTTTAACGGCCTCGTAAGTTTCTATAGACGTTTCATACCGAAATGCGCATTGCTTATGAAACCGCTAACCGACCAACTTCGTGGAAATGCGAAATCCATTAATTTGGACGACACCGTACGAAAAGCATTCTCCACAGTTAAGGAACTGATCGCTATAGCGACAATGCTCGCACATCAGGACACCGAAGCACCCATTAGTATCGCAGTAGACGCATCGGACTCGGCAATCGGAGGAGTCTTATAACAATGGGTTAACAACTCCTGGCAACCCTTGGCATTTTTCTGTAGAAGGTTGCTAGACACCGAATCGAGGTACAGCACATTCGGTAGGGAACTCCTAGTTATGTATTGTACTGTACGGCATTTCCAACACTATATCGAAGGTCGTGAATTCACTCTTTTCACGGACCATAAACCGCTCACTTTCTCGTTAAGCTCTCCTTCTGACAAGTACTCTCCCCGTGAGTCTCGACAACTGGACTACATTTCGCAGTTTACTTCAGACATTCAACACATCTCTGGAGCAAACAATGTAGTTGCAGACGCCTTATCTCGCATAACTTCCTTGAACAGTTTCCAAGGAATCGACCTTCTGAAACTCGCCGAGCTTCAAAAAGAAGACACTGATCTTCAGCACGAGTTATCGTTCACAACCCTCAAGTTACGTATCAAACAGATGGGAACAGGTAAGGAAACCTTACTTTGTGACACATCTACAGGTAGGGATCGCCCAATCGTTCCGAAACATTATCGACACAATGTCTTCAATACATTGCACAAACTTTCTCATCCAGGTGTTCGTGCAACCATCAAGCTTATAGCAGAAGGGTTTTGCTGGCCTGGCATGAATAAAGACCGTTACCAGATTCAAATGGATACTCTTACCTTTTAACCTGCGTAGACCGTTTCACTCGATGGCCAGAAGCAGTACCTATCAAGGACATCACTGCTGAAACAGTGGCCCGCACCTTCGTCGAATGATGGATAGCAAACTTCGGCTGCCCTTCAATCATCACTACAGACCGCGGACGTCAGTTTGAATCTGAACTTTTCCGTCGTCTGACCACACTTTTAGGAATCAATCGCTTCCGAACGACTGCCTACCACCCACAAACAAACGGGTTGGTAGAACGCTTTTACCGACAACTAAAAGCTTCACTATCAGCTGCAAACGTTTCACAGTGGACCGACGCTCTTCCACTCGTCTTACTAGGTATCCGCAATGCAGTGAAAGCTGACATTGGATACACTGCGGCTCAACTCGTTTATGGAACGACACTTAAACTTCCAGGAGAATTCGTGGATCCTTCGTCCTCTTCAATGAACATGGATCTAACCTCCTACACGAACAGGCTTACAAACGCAATGCGTTCAGTTAAACCTGCTTCCACTCGACCTCAATCAACCGATGTTTTCGTTCAACCTGACTTACGATATAGTACACACGTTTTCGTTCGTCGAGATTGGCATCGACGACCTTTCGAATCAGCATACGAAGGACCTTTCAAAGTTCTTCAACGCGAACCGAAGTACTATATAATCGATAAAAACGGAATCAACGATAGCATCAGCATCGATCGCCTCAAAGCAGCGTATTTAGAAGGAAATCCTATTCACGTTGATTTTTCTTCGGTACAATCGCACGACACGGCTCCACTCATAATTCCTCAATCGACAACCAACACACGCGATGTTACTCCGAATGTATCTAAAAATAAACTTAAAACGACGCGTTCTGGAAGAAGAGTTAGATTTCCAGAACATTTAAACGACTATTGCACGTAAGGCACTACTAGACATTTAATATTATCTCGATCTTTCTTTTTACGATATATAATATTTTTTTTAAAAAAACGATTTTAATATGCTTATGTATTTTTATTTTTATTCCAAAAAAAAGCAAAAAAACATTATAAATTTTGTTTAAAGATATTATGTGTAAATTAGTTTATGCTCCAATTTTTTTCGCCGACATTGTGTTTTTACGCACATACGAGTGTATTTCGACATGCACTTACATTTTCTTTTTTCTTTTCCAGGACGGCTGGAAAAGAACGATGACGTTTATGAGGAACTGAAATTTTCATTGTACATTTTCTTTTTTTACTATGTTGTACCTCGGTCCCATATAGTAAGGAAAGACGACCAGACGCTGCTAATCCTAGCAAGCTATCAAAAGGGTGTTTACCAACGACAAACTCGCTGGGTTTAAACTTCTGGCTGGCCACGTCTTAGGGTCATCACTAACCCACTAGGAGGGTAGTGATTTGTAGCGGTAAATAAATCCCCAAAATAAATAGCCCTGTAAGTTTTCGACATTGGATGCTGATCATACGTTTTAGTGGACTCATCTAGCTGAAGGCGCTCGGTCAGGCATCCGCACCAGATCACGTGTGGTAACGCCCTGCTCAACATCAACCGCAATCGCTAGCCAGATTAGATCAGAGAATTCCGATATTTTGGTTATCGCCAAATACACTCTTCTGATCTCCTCGACTCTGTCTTTTGATTTCTCTCGGTGGGTACAAATCAAAATTAGGTGTTACTGGTGGAAGCGTTGTCAAACACTGAATACCTGTGTCATCCTTCAACACCATAGGATAGGAGATACTTGAACTAATAGATTGGGTATAACTTAGGAATAATAAATCGTACAATAGTAACCAATAGGCCAAATGAAAGGAATATAGATATATGCAATCTAGTTACTGAGTAGTTATACAATAAGAATATATATATATGATAAATGTTCAAAAATAGTTCCTTGAAGTTAGATATAATTTAATATTCATTAAAATATAACAGTATTTTACTCGAATAAATTCAGAATTGAGTTATACGGGCCTAATATACACTGTAATAAAATATTTCAAAACTGTCCAGAGTACCAATTTCTCAGAATGTCTCAAAAATTTATAATTTAGTGAAAGAATGGGATGAAATTAACAGAGACCTAAAGCCAGACAAAGGTATATTAGAAAAGTACAAAAATAAATACAGCTCGACAAAAGCCAACCAAATGAATTGAACCAACAGGTTTAGGTCTTAAGTTGTTGGTATGAGTGTGCAATGATCTGAAATTTATATTTTCATATCATTTATCACATACGTGTTTGCTTCAATTTAAGAAGCAATTACGAATCCGGGGGGTGACTAGTTTTTTATTGATTTAGGTGGTAGATATATACAGAATCTAACTAAATAATACGCTTTTTGGTTCAAAACTCCCAATAACTTACACATAATTTGATTCTTTTGCTTAAAATCTATATACTTTGGTAGTTGAGTACTTTTATCATTATTGACATACAAGAAACACAGTGGACTTCATTAGTTTAAGTAAATTAGCTATACTGTGGACTAAACCGCATATTTTACATATAAGTTCTTGAACATTAACAAACTGGATTTTAAATTATGCAAACTTTCATTCATAAATTTCAGTTTCCGGTACTTACAATTCTGATTAACTAAATAGTTGTCTTGGTGAGCATTTTATATTCCTTTTTTTGCTAATATGTCGTATTCACAAAAAGTATTATTCACTGAACATCCATGGTTTTATTTATTTTCTATTTAAAGTGCGTTTACTAAAATTTGTTACAATCCAAGTGAATTTAAGGAAATAACTGCAGTCAGTAAATTATCTGAACATGCTGCTCACTTCATGGGATGCAAGTTGTTCCTACCTTGATAGAATACTATTGTCACTGGAAACCAGAAATATAAGCATAAAAACTTCCAACTCATTTATAATCCCCTCATTGAAATTTTGCTTACCACTGATCATTTAAAATTCTTATAAATCAAGAGATATATCCACTTATTTTTAAATCAAGTAACTTTGAAGACAAATATCAGGTAAAGGTATTGTGAAAAAATACTTTTCATAATACTCCGTACTTCGAGGATGTTCAGATACCGATGGTTACAGTACACTTATTCTTTGAAGAGAACTGTGTTGGACGAATCTGGTAATTATTTTGAACTTAACAATTTTAGTTCTTAACCTTACAATTGCTTATATTATTTAGTACATTACGGCAGTATTTAAATAATCCAAACACTTTGCCACTGAAATGACTTATTGTCTTTTCCAGTGTAATTTTGTTTAGGTTGAGTGGCTGATGCCCATCAACGCAGCATAAAGTGTCCACATGCACTTTGGGGATACAAAGGTTAATAGGTACAGCATAGGGGAAGTGCCACTACCAGTGGTCTAGTCTCATAAGGATCTTGGGGTGACTGTCAGTCATGATATTAAGACCACGACCCATTGCCGGAGGGTTGCAGCTTAGGGGTTTCAAACCCTCTGGGCTTTGAAACGGACATTCACTAAGTTAGATACTACCATGTTCACTACCGCATACATAACTTTGGTGAGAACTAAGCGTAAGAACTGCGTTCAGGCTGCAAACTCCTGTTTAAAAAATGACTCGGATATCCTTAAAAAAGTACAGAAGGCAGCTACCCGTGCAATTCCAGAACTCCGGGGTTTGCCATACAAAGAGTGGCTTGAAAAGCTGAACCTCTTTACTCTGTCCTGTCGCATACTAAGGGGAGATCAAATTTTGATGTACAGAATACTGAGAAATGATTTTGGACCTAGCATATCCTCTTTTTTTCTTCCCACTAGATCGGGACATCTCAGAAGACATAGCAGGAGAGTAGAAAAGCCAAGAACGAACAAAATACCCGTGGCATACAGATTTTCACACCGTATCATCAATACTTGAAACCTGTTACACGAAGCGGTGGTGTCCGCACTTTCAATCGACTCATTCAAGATGAGACTGGACACTCGCAGAAGCATACTAGAAAAGGAATAAAATAGGTCGTAGGCCTTCTGTCCTTACTACACAAATCTTAATCTTATTCTGAAATCGGACTACTTCATACATTTGTAAACTTAGTTTTGAGCTTTAACATACTTATTGTCGACTTTAAACTAAATTTTAGTTATTTATACGTTAAAACTACCTAGCAACTAGCAAACGTTTGGTTGAAATCACTTCTGTGACCAAAATATCCAGTACAGTACATCGTATTTTGGATGAAGGGGTCACTGAGTAGAACTATAAGACATAAGTTACCGCATAAATATGGGAAACTAGTTCATGAAACTGTGAGTTCCAATTGTCTCTAGAGGTTAAGACACTTGCTAAGTTTGGTTGGTGATCCACTACATACGTTGATGTGGAATACTACCGACTGATATTTTTGGTTCCTCTGAATCTTGAACTTCTTATAATTTTATTACATCATTCAGTAATATTGAACTATGTTCCTGGATTAGTTTTCCAGTGTTATAGTGACACGAAGGTTGAAAAAGCAACTTACTTACCAACTTTATTAAGTTAAGAGCCATATTAAAGCAATGACAACTTTCTTCTGCAAGTACTCTTTGATCACTCTCAGTTCTTTGAAGCTGAAGTTTATATAAGTTATGAACATTGAACACTTCGTCTTCATTTGCCTTTGTAGATGAAATAGCTTGCATTATCTATGAAGGTTACACAAATACAACAGACAAACATAGCTTTACCTCTGAATTCAGATTTTTGATAGATGATTGAAGTTTTTCATTGCTTAAACTCGCGTCAGTGAGACACCTTGGGCAGAAATATTTTTTTAATCACAAACAGTACTTCAAACAGTCCTCCAATTTCTTTTTGTTACGCAGACCCTCTACGTTTATCATGCAAAGATCTTTTCTCCCAGAGATTACAGCTGAATATAGACTAAAGCTACTAAGAAATTATATACCGCTTACTTCTCACAAGCATCAATTAAGTTATTGAAAATATTTTCGTACCTATCTGACAGGCTAAGAAGCAATGCCCTGCGATGACTTTCTTCAGGGCGTATCTACTTAAATGGGGATTTATCTTGATAGACAGACCTGAGTTATTGCCTCTCGGAAAATGTTTTGAATACTCTTTAATGCCGTGTGACTAGCTTCTTTAAACTCCTGAAGTTGTTCTGCACTTTCAACAGGTGAAAGTTCTCCTATATGCGAATTCTGAACGATATCGGCGAGTTTTTTAGACAAATATACAACATAACTCCTATCGCTGATAGCATTGCGTTACAAAGCTGTGGCAAACATACTTTGTGTGAGACCTTTGCTTAGAAGCAATAATGCTCCTGAGAAAATATCATATGAGTGTAGAGCTTGCCTGAATGAAGTCTCGTAATTCAATGCGATTTCATATGATCCCTCAGTTTTAGTCCATGTCACTTTTTTAGACCGTGGAATTTTTTCAGCTGAAATGCTGTTCCCAAACTTCACCCTTGTTTTGGGATCTATGAGGTGCCCTAAAAACTCAATCGAACTATACTTAATTATTCCCAAAGCTGACTTTCGTTTTCTTGAGGAAACTCTTTCAATATGTCATCTGGAACAAAATCCATATTTAAACATGCGTTTAATCAGTTACTACGTCTGCAAGGTCACAGTAACATCTTTAGCCTTCAGTAATAAGGATAGATCTATCGACTTATATTATTCCTTGTAGTTTGTAATATTGTGGAGGTTCAATCTCGTTTTGAATATATCAACGGAAGGTGTTGATATTACGTGTTGTGATAGGGAATCTAGTAATTCACTACTCGGTGCGAGAAACGAAACTCCAGACGTAAACGATTTGATCTCGGCTTTTGAACTTTCTTCGAATATCCTTTCAAATGATCAGTCCCAGACGGAAGTAAAAGATAAGACATGGTAATATCAAGGTCACCGTTCAGTATACGATAAGCCAATATTATATCATCCTGTATTCTACGGCATGATAACGCAAATAAGTTAACTTGTACCAGTCTGTCTTCATAAGATAGGCCAGATAGACCTTTGACCATCTTAGTACCTCGTTGTTGGACTCTTTCAAACATATCTGCTTCATACTTAAAACAAGGACTCGCTGCTTGAATCCCGTATTCTAAATGTGGTCGCACATAAATCGGGTATAATAATCTAAACATTTCATCATCTAAATACTGGAAAGACCTACGAATAGATCATAATACCCTGTAGCCTTTTGCAGCAGCAGCCTTACAATAGCTGGTGGTTTTGAGATCACTGCTTAGTATGACTCGGAAATCTTTATAGTTTCTTACTTTGGGTAGCACGAACCCACATACGATTCATCACAGTTACTTAAATGCATCACCATACTCTTGTTAGGATTCACTTCTAGTGACCATCTGTCTATCCATGCCACCAATGAGCTAAGATCATCCTGTAATACTATTCTATCTGACATACTGTGTATGGATTTCCAAATCTTTGTGTCATCGGTGTAGAGTAGAAGGGATGATTCTGGTACAGTTGGTATTTCATTTACATAAAGTAAAAAGAGAAGAGAACCAAGGATTGTGCCTTGGGGACTTCATTTCTTATAGGTTCCCAAGAAGAGAGAGCTCCATTTATCATATCCAATATCGTTTCGAGGAGCTCGAATATGCCTATTAATTTACCTTAATCCAAATCCTAATGTTAAGAGGTTTAATCAGAACTTCCGAGTAGGAAAAAGTGTTTTACTGATGGATGGCTTGAAAAACGTCATTGATTTCTGCAGACTTGTATTTGATTAACTTTCGAAAACAGACAGCTTTATAGACGTTAAACGTTGGTGTTAATCTCGTTAGTTTCAACGAATACTGGTTGCTGAAGAATTTCGGTGAAGCATCGTGACCATATTTCAGAACAGCTCAAAGGTCGTTAGTGAGCAATAGAATATTTCAGTGTTTTTAAAATGGTGTATATAGTTGCTGCCGGAATGAAAGCTTTTGCACTACGAGCTACTGCTTTTAGTATCAATGGATTCCTAATGCTTCCATTCTGCTAATCTGTGTACATGATTTTGATTTATTTGTATCATAGCCACAATACATACACCTGAAAGCTTGAATATCTTGAGGAACGAAAAAAATACACTTCCTACCTGTTTTTAACAGTACTCTTTATGGTAGGTTAAACTATCTGCTTCTAGCTTCGTTTTCAAGGCTGTCTTAATTTGAGGCTTATATCACTGTTGATTGTTGTCCATTGATTTCATCAATAAATGTAAATAGATTGTGTGCGCTTGTTGTACGTCGACCCACTTTTCCTTTCGTTCATTTTTCAGCCCCACCTCACTCACTCTGAAATCTATTTCACCTCATTACACGGAATACTTTCTAGCTGGACGCGAACCGCTTCACTCGTGTAATAAATTCAAAAAATTGCGCCAATTACATCTAATTTTGATCACCAGATTTACCTTACGTTTGTGTCAGTGCTACTTCTGCCGAATACTAAGTTTATTTACTGTGCTTTTAGTGTCATAAGCTCGGTGTTTCCTTGTTCTAACCACTGATAGATATTTCGACGTAGGCTGCTCTTTATGTTTTCTCAAAACGGAACTCACATTTAGGCTAGATGAAGACCCACCAAAGGCTTGATATTACATATTTTGTGCGTTCTTTTGTTTCACTAATTTTCGCTCTCAACAAACGGTCACAGAATACTCCTGACTTTCGTACCGATTGATGAAGGATGAAATAGTAATGTTAGAACAATTAATCTTGAAAATTTTTAAGCAAACTGAAGTCATGTTTATTGATACACTCTACTCAAGTGTCTGGATTAGGTTGACAACTAACATCTGTTCAAATCAAACTTACACAATTCAAGCCTTCCCTGAACATGAACAAAAGAGATGATATTAGTATTGGTCTTGACCATACAGTCCTCAAAACTGAACATGAGATAACTGGGAAGATGTATATTCAACAATTAACACAAAGAGAAGGTCAAAAATTCAGAAGGCGGGAATAATTTGTTGAATTCCATGAGATAGCATGGTTCAGCTTTGCAAGCATGATCATTATGTATAACTTGCCTCACATTAAATATATTATCCTATCTTTAGCTTTAATATGTTCTTTAGAAACTCAAGACATATTAATAATTGTTACGATACGATGAGTTAGTGTAGAGAATGGTGTGACTTCCGCGTAAGATCTTAGAGATTAGGCAGTTACATCATGACATATCTACATTTTCAGGATAAGGTTTATTATAATGGAACTAATAACGAGTTGGACCATAATTCTACAAGATAAAGGTAGATATAATATTCCAGATTAATGGGGAGACATTGACACTTCATCATTCGTGGACGAAAATTGTGATGAAGCTCATTTATTATAAAACTACCTCAGCGATGTATGCACAACCTTTGGCTCGACACACACTCTGGAAACTGAGCATTAAAGAACTCGGTGTTTTGGTCTGGCAAATCTGCTTGGTATATGTAAATCCATGGGATCCGATGAATCGCATTCTAAATCACCGAAGGAACTAGCAAATTTTATCGCGAATCCATTAAACATATGTTTTAAACTCTCCGTAACCCAACGCAGGTTACCTAAGAACTATGTGGGACCAGTGAAATGTCACTGCACTTTATACAAATCTTTCAGCGATCGGGTCATCAAATGTTGATCAGTTCACGGACTCTCGTCAAGTACAAGGACAACCAACGTGCATCAATTGATCGCACTCCATGAACTGACACATGCGGTGGTGTTCACAATCTCTTACTTGTATTAACTCTTACTAATATATTCCTGTAATAACGTCGATTGTGTTTTACGATCTTCAAAGCATCCACAGTAACTTGATACGACGAAAGGGTTATCCACGTTAGGTGCTGACCTTAAGGTGTGAATTCAACGTTAGCTGGTTGGTTACACCATTCCTGTCTAACTCGATCAGGCCCCCAATAATTCGACACAGACCATCCACGCGGGTAACAGGCAACAGGGCGAACCCCATAGTAAATCTTGTCTTCGAAACAGTTACGAAACACTAACCTGAGAACTGTCAACCTGTAAGCTCAATCAGCGCCTTTGTTAAAATTTCAGATAAGATTATTCTTAAGGGGTTAGTTAATCATCTAGACAAAGATCTGATTCTTTCTGAAAAGCAGCTTTGCTTTATGACAGGTTATTCATGCTTAACAAACTTGTGAGAAGCCCGTGAAAGTTTTTTGAACTTTAAAGGTCATAAGTTACCTATATGTGTAGCTTACAATTACTTCAGCAGGACATTTGACAAAGCTACCTACAACCGTCCGTTATCTATGTAGGTGATATCAGGGTCGGAGTCAACCTATTTATGTGGATAAAGAATTCTTTTATTGAGCGTCAACATATGGTATAGTTGGACTCTCAGTCGTCTAGCCGAGAACCTTTGATCAGCGGAATGTCTCAGGGAACAGTTTTAGTGCTAGTGTTGTTCCTCCTGTACAAATGACCTTCCTAGTCTCTTAACACCATCAGTTTAATAATTTGCTGACAATGTTCGTGCATAAAGAGCGATAAAAAGTAAAGGTAATAGTTTGAAGCTTCAAACTAACTTGTAGGGTCTATTCGAACGGCCCAGAATTTGTAAGTTCCTGAAAATGCTTTTGAAAATGTTTGGAATTCCAGAACAAATTACTTATAAGCTGATTACCCACTTTTTCATCGAGTCACCAAGGGATGGAACTCATCACTTCAAAACATAATTGAAGCCCCATCTGTCAATACTTTCTTAAGAAAGTTGGACCAACCGAGAGACCTTACACAGGTCACCTAGCCTCTTGTTCTATCCAAACTGAAAATGTAATACCAAATCCAGCTAACCGGAATTCAGGAGTAAAGAAATTTAAGGATATATTTGAAAGTCAATGAGTCCGGAAATATGAGATCTAAGCCGACTAGTTGTTGCAAGGAATAGGTAGTATGGCATACCATGCTAATTTTCGCAGTTCAAATAGGTGAATAAAGGGACTGTCTACAGGAATATATAGTAATGTCACCCCACGCTGAGTCAATAAAAGAAAGACTTGACGATTATTTTAGCTGTATACTTGGTAGGGAATAATGCTACCTAGACGCAGCTTATAACATATGGTTCACAAATTCTCCTTGACAAATGTGGAGATAATAAACAATAATATTCATTATGGAATAATATTGTACTGAAGGAAAGTTTCGTATGTTAATTTTTTTAATGCTTGTGAAGCATTATAGTGTATATAGAGGTGTCGATTCTACAAGCGATATGACTTGTTTATTTCATCTACATTTTTGTTTGTGATCTCTAGGACGTGCAAATATGAATTGAATCCTCGAATCAGGCTTCATATGAGTTTCTGCTGAATTTATGTGTACCAGGAATTACATTAACTTCCAATTTTACTCATCTTCAGTTGAAACATGTGACTCCAACTCTTCAAATGAAGAAGTTACAAAGCTGGAACAGGATTATACTTCTGAATACTCATACCCATGTCGCTGGGATCAACTTCCGTCAAACAAACATATCTTCGCCAGTTATAACTTCCCATCTAAATTAATCTACAAAAACTTGCAGCCTGAGTATTGGTGGAGTCGGTATTCAACTAGTTTGAAAGATAAATGTCTGAAAAATCGTTGGTTGTCTTACATTGGGCAATGTGATGAAAGATATAACATAACAGAGTATCAACTGATACGTGAAATTATCTGGGTCCTGCTTGGTGCCAGGGGGAGCTTTGTTATGCAATTATGTGAAAACCAAATGGTAGATATTTGTTGCAAACCACATCTTGTATCTGTTAGCCATTTATCTTATAATGCTCTTGATTCATTGCTGGGGAAGTTCGTTGATTGGAATAATCATATACTATTCATCAGACTTGTAGTCCATTTTGTAGTCAACAAAATGGACTGCGTATCTCATGCTTGCGCCTTCTCTTTTGCCAGTTGCTTGAATGGATTTTTGTCTCAACTTGATGAGTTCTTGCATGAGATGGAAAGTAAAAGCCGTAATCCAGGCATTTTCACTATGATCAGTCTTTATCATTGTTTGATCCCTTGGTGTAACCGTGTTAAGATATTGTCGAAAATCATAAAAGATGTCATTAAAAACGACCTTGATAACTTACGAGAGACAAGTACGATCACAACTTTGCTGGATGCACTACATCATACTTCAGATTTACTAGAAGACTGTGGCTTTGACCAGTACATCGTTAAAGTACTACGTTCTATGTTCATCATCACATTTCATCCATTCATTTCCTCACTAGTCCAGCTGTTTTCAGGGTCTGCGGCTTTCACCGACCCAATGGTAAAATTGTTCGCTGATATAAATTTTAATATACCACCTAATGATCCAAAATTCTGGTCTGATGCCATTAAGCCGCGAAACAATGTGTTAGGCTCATCTCACGTACCGTATATGTTTCTTCCTATCATGGATGAGGTAGTCGATGGTCTTAAAACTATCTTCTTACTCACTGCGGTCTGTGAAAAAATTGGGGACTACTCCTTCCTCGAAACAGTTGATTCAAACTCTATTTGTATCTTTTTGGATTCTCTCTTGAGCGAACATTTTCGTCTTAAACTCAACCACCAAGAATCCTGTATCTCGAAAAATTGTTACAAAATGGATGAATCAAGGACCACACTCAAATCCTTGGAGTCACAATTAAAACGTTTTGTTTGTGAACGAAGAATGTCAGTTAATCAACAGTTGTTGAAGTTATTGCTTCTCTCGCATATGCGTGGGCCAAATGGTTTGCGAACTGTAGGAAACTGCCTAGCTGTTGCGGGAGCAGTGTATCTTTTCGGTGCTGGTGATAATATGAACGATTTCGCTCGCCAGTGTTTCAGGAATATTGCATTTTCAAGAGCCAAGAAGCTGGACCTTGTTGAGCTCACCGCTAATCTACAGAGTCAGTTAAGTGGTGCTTTCAGGAACCGTCATGTATCTCATTCACTCCTGTATCTAGAGTCTCCATTCTTCACATTTGATCTCCTTAATATGGATCAACCAGTTGATGATCGACCTATGGAACTGACTTTTGATTTGATTGGTAATTTAAGACTTAATTATCACCTGGACTGGCCAGCGAACATCATTTTGAATGAAAACAGCATTGGAATTTATAACGATGTCTTCATTTTCTTGCTTCAGGTATGTTGAACTATTCACTAGGATATGGCTTTTATATGCTTGTATACGGTATATAGTCCTTAGCTTTCACCAACGAAATTAGAAATATTCTCATTAATAAAAAGTGAAGTAAATGTAATTCTTGTATGTAATCCAGCGGTGGGCAGCTTATTCACCACCAGATAAATCAAACATCACATAAACGACTCATACTTTTGATCAAATATACTTAAATACTGATTAATCGCAAAGAATCTATAGCTGTGCTTTCGTGAAATACTGAAACCTTGGTCATATCTTAGTTTAGTTCACTCGGACTAGGATGCTAGGTTCGTATACGAACGTCCTCACATTTTTTTATGATTGGTTCGTCTTATGAATACACAAGATCATGTATTACAGATTTACCTTTGTGCACCGAATAATTATTTGGACATCAAAGTACTTTAAGGTCTAACGTTAGTAGCCACCAAATTACAGTGACACTTGCTCGGATTGTGAAACATGTGTGGGATTATGGCTAGTTTATTTGCGGTACTGAACCTTGGTCGCTCATGGTGATAAAGATGTTTTATGTGTGCCCAACCACCACCTGCCTCAATAAGCGACTTTAGGTGGTGTAGTAGGTTGGAAGAAAGTTAGGAGCTCCCAAATCAAGATGCGGAACTAGTCTATAAAGCTGTTGAATTGAGGTTTGTTGGGAGGTTCATGTACCAGGTTGGGGTTGATGCGATTATCTTTAGTGACTGGAGACACTAAATGGTGTTTCTCAAAATTGATCGAGATGGCACAGACGCATTTACTTGGTCTTTAATTATTGAGTCCTAGTATTGGCTTATACTTTTCTCACCAATTCATTCTCAAATCATATTGTTTGTGCCTATTCTTTCGTACTACTGATATTATTACTACTACTACATTGTTTTGGCATTTTTCTTGATAATTTCATTTCACTGTGCTAATGTAATGTGGCAAGTTGGACCTATGAGCATGTGCTAGGTTCTACTTTGCATGTGACTAACCGATTGATTTTTATAAAGTGAATAAGCTAGTTTGCTAGAATCTTAATCTTGGCTCACATTCTGTATGCATTCATCGTAAGCTATCTTGGAGGCTGTACAAGCAAAGGGTTTATTAAAATTTTATTTTGAGCATTTCTTATTTCATGGGTTACCCACTTCTACAGATTTATCTATTATTCGCTCTTTTGATGAGCGACTGACTGACCCGATTTATATAAGAGGCACAGTTCTGTTAAAATTTTCAAGTTCCACTGTGACTTTCCCTGGGAGAAATACCACATTGTTCTTCCTAATCGTCTAAGGTGAAAAGGTGGTGTAACATTTGTCTTCCTCCTAGCTTATTTGCATGACAAGCAGTAGTGCTGTTAACATTTCCAACTGTTTCCATTACTACAGTGTCTTATTCACGACAATCTGCCTTCAGTTGATCTCTAAGTATGTAGCCAGGTTATTCGCAGTTGTACTGATCCCTATGAGCCACGTTCTGTCAGCCAAAAATTAAATATTGATATTGTTTGTCATAGATTCATTATAAGGTCAGTCAGTCGCAACGTAGAACTTCGTATGTACGTAGATCAGTTCGAGTTACCATACAATATGAATAAAGGGTATATGTTAGGTCGTAAATTGGGAAGGGGGATTAGTCATTTAGTTGGGTTGTTTTCACTTGGCTAGCCTGCCCATGGCTGGTAACTTCTTGATCTTTATTAGAGGTGTTAAATAAATTGGAAATATTGCTGAATGTATTAACTGAAATCTGTCATCACTGATGTACATTTGTGTGAGTGACGGAACCAAAACGGTTGGTGTTAATGAGCGAAGCGCTCATAAAACGTTTTTGGTGGTTTGCTTAAATTTGATTGCTAATCTGATCAATTTCTTTGGGTCTCTACTTGTCATTTGGGGGGTTAATTATGAATACAGTGGTCTTGAGTGCTGTTAGAGGTATGAAAGCGGTTATCACTTTCCGTTTGACCACACTGTGGAAGGATTCTTCTGGAGGTACCTGAAAAGGAAAATGGATTAGTGGTGGTCTTAGTGACCTGAAAGCGTGACCGCAGTGCCCAAGGGACAACTGCTTTAGGTCGGTCACACACGACCTTTTATAAGTAATTTTCGTGTTAGCTCCGTACTTGTTGAGACCTTACCGCGGAGACGGATATCCGTGGGATAAGGCGAGGTGTGCATTTTTAGGGTCGAGATTTTCTAACCCCACCCCTCTTTAGTGTGAAGGCAGCATCTCTGTCATGCTGGTTGTCTGAAGGAAACACCTGCTGTCACACCTCTGTACAGTCAGCAGTATGACTTCGCCTTTGGGTTTGTTGCTTTTAGTCTTACCGCTCTTCAGCCAACCTGCCTGGTATGGTAGAATACTAAAGAACGATTGTTCCAGTCAGTATAGCTCGGTTGCTTCATCATAATGGGCAAGCCCGACCACGACGTCGAGGTAGCAACAACAGTCGGGTTCGGCTCGCTTGGCTTTTGCCAACTTACGTCACCTATGGCGAAGGTGAGATATCCGTCTATCAATAAAAAAACGAGTATACTCCTCAGCAGTTCGTTCTATTTTACTTTACGGCTGCGAAACGTGGCCATTAAGAGTAGAAGACACTCGTAAGCTACTAGTATTTGACCACAGATGCCTTAGAAATATTGCTGGCATCTGCTAGGATCATCGGGTGAGTAATAGTGAGGTTAGACTCAGGGTACTAAGGAATGATGGTAAATCAGTTGATGTGGTTTTGAATCTTCATTGACTGAGATGGTTGGGCCACGTGTTGCGTATGCCTGGACACCGAATACCATGACGCGCAATGTTGTCCGGTGTTGATGATGGTTGGAAGAAAGTTAGGGCGGCCAAACCAAAACGTGGCATCAGTGCTTGAAGTCACTAACTTCTGGTCTGAGCCATGTTGGTAGATGCAGAATACTTGGTTGGGGTCCACGTGACTAGCGTCACCAGTGGTTGGAGATTCTGTGTGACATGGCTCAGAATCGATCACAATGGCTTATGTGTGTACACACTTTCTCTTCCCTTAAACCGTGAGATTGAAATCGCTTTATATCTTTCTTTCTACGAACTAATTCTTCCTGTATTATATCATTATATGCAATCTTTCTTTTATATATTACTACCATTGAAGTAACTACTACTATAGATTTGGTGTTAATCTTAATGCGCTAATGAGGTGGCAACTTGGACCGATGCATATATGTGCCTGGTAATACATTGTAGCTGACTGACTTGTTATTTGGGGGGGACGATAGCCATAAGCTATATGGTGGTTTATGTCTTGCCATTTGTAAAGATGGAATTTTAGCAGTTTATAAACTTTTAGTCATTTATTTTCTACGGAATTTGACGCGGTCATTCTCATATTTTTATTTGTGCAGTGTCGTTTAAACACTTTTGATCACTTGTTTCATTTCAGCGTTTATCTCAATTAAATGAAATTTGTATTACTTATCCTTCAGATTAAATACGTTAAATGGAGTCTTGAAAACTTACATTTCAGCACTCCAGAGAAAAGAGTTTCAACTTGTTTCCCCATCAACCACTATCTTATCATACTACGTGTAAAAATGTTGTTTATCTTCACAAGCCTACATGATTTCTTGGCACACAGAATTGAAGCTATCCGAACTCGATTTTCATCTAAGTGGTGTCTTCCTGAATTTTATTCTACTACATCTATCAATCACAATATCCCCGAAACAAATACTTTCTCTGATCTTGTGCAAGATCATAAAAATTTGCTCAATGAATTACAGTCCGTGTGCCTATTAACCGATTCTACTTCGCTTCTTTTTACAGAGATATATAACCTTTGCAATATGGGCCTTCAGCTACGAGAATTATGGCTAAAGAGCCTTTTATCTCCAAACTATGAAACTTCACGTTTTACAGTAAAAATTGAGTTTCTTTCTGAGCAATTTGACAATCATGTACAGTTCCTTTCGACAATGCTAACACGCGCAGTACGTTTGAGTACTGCTAAACAGCTTTTGTACCTATCAAGTTCTTTTAAAACTGCGGCCTCGTTTCCTACAAATATTTTTAAATTAATTCCTTCCAAATGACACTGTCATCGAATATGTATGAAAAATAAATATTTTTCTGTGCGTCATCTTCTTTTAAAATTCATTGTTTCATTAATAAAGGAAGATTTACTTTTAGGTTAAGAATGGCTTCACCGATAAAATCCATTGATAATTTCCTAATTTCCTCAACTCCACATCACTTACAGATCGAAATTAAAAGTAATGCAAAACGGAAAGATAAGAAAGCTAATTTGGATATTGAAATGAACACTGATGGTGTGGAGACACCTCAGGATAAATGTATATTTCAGGTTAAAACGAAATCTCGAAACAGCAATAACAGCATGGTCTATCTAGAAGATGCTTTACGTTTGGGCTGGACATCTCAACGTGCGAGTTACTTATTTGATCTCTTAACAAGGCCTCCGCTTCTTTTTTCTCCCAGCATGGGAATCAGTCTTTCATTCGAAAAAGGTTCGCAGAATAATTATCAAATTCTACCCGCTAACAAACGAAATCGTCCGATTGATCCTGATCCGTGTTTGTTATCGATCGACGGTCTTCTAGACTGTTTATTCGTAACGAATTCTTTGGTTGATCAAATCTATCATGACTGTATGGATAATCCAGAAAATCGGGGGACTGATGAATACGAACACTCTCCTACCGTTTTGGCTGCGAAATTCTTCCGAAGACGAGGTAATGTATTTTTCAATTCACGTGGTGTTTAATTGTCAGGAAAACTTCTTTTAGTGAATTTTTCTCCGTAGTTATAATCTATAAGTTTTTTCTGTCATTCACATAAGCAATATAATATTTTATGATGTTGGATAGTTAAGTTTGTATTAGCCGTAATCTACCACGTACTTTATTATTAATTTACATCACTGATAAAAGTTATCTTACAGACATTTTCTTTTACTTGTAGTGAAGCCAATCATTACTCGATTATCAGAATTCCGTCTCAAATTGTCTGATTTCAAGCTGGGCGCATGTGTTGGTAGAGGGGCTTGTGGAATAGTACGTGTAGTACGTGAGGTATCGCCACCTCATTCAGTATATGCAATGAAATCTCAGTTTAAAGGAGCATGGTTGCATCATGATCCGGTAGGTTTTCTTGATTTAGTGATCCTTATAATTTCTTTGCATTATTTGCCTATTTAGGAGGGCTCTCAGATTCTGCTTGAAAGGACTGTGTTAGCGCAAGCAACTGCCATTGAAAATCCATGGCTTCCACACCTGCATTATGCATTTCAAGATGAAAAGCACTTGCATCTTGTGATGGACTATGAACCCGGTGGCGATTTGTATATATTCTTAAGCAAGTGAGCGACCTTCTTACTTGACCAATTTTAGCATAAATTGTAACTATTGTTTGTTATATGTGCATCACAATGAAAATTAGCTAACGAAGTTGTCTTTAGCTTAAGATAGAAACTCCATACTAATCTAGGCTAAATAAAAATGTCTCTCTACCAAAAAACCGCAGGTAAAGCATTGGAACAGAATTTTATGTAAATATCTGTATAATTCTAAAATTAAACAAACCATACTAATCGGAGTAATCTATTTCATATTTTTGCTTTGATTGGATGTATAGAAGGCAAAAATAAATGAACAACTTAGCTCATTGCAGAAATGCGCGTTCTACATTTTTGCATCTACACGTATATTAACATGAGATGATTACTGCTCGTGTCACAGTGAATGATATGTTTGTATTTTTGGGAATCGATTATAAATAAGCCGCTTTACGTCGACTTTATATTTGGTGATAAACAAAGACATATTCAGTCCGGACAACGTAGTTTATTACACAGTCCAGTGTTAATTCTGTGGAACTGATAAGAACACTACCCAAGTAAACCCTCGTTTTACAGTTACTCAACCAACATCACGTGCTTTCTTTGTTCTTATATGCTGCTGTTAAGGGTGATCAACGCAAAATACAAATGGGACTCTAACAAAAGACTGCTACATTGACGTGCTTGTCCGGTTTACTTATCGTGGTGATCCGATCGAGGTATATTGACTGGAACAAATGTTTCTTTAAGTCTCACGATGCCTAACACGTTGATTTCAGAATAGTTAGACTAAAAGCAGCAAACTCATGGTCAAATATCGAAGTCATACTGCTGACTGTACTGAAGCGTGACAGCAGCAAGATATTTTCCTCAGGCAACTAACATCTACAATGTTGCTGCCTTCTCATAACAGAAAAAAGCGGTTAGAAATAATTGACCCTGAAAATGTCGCGTTTCACCTTATCCCATGGATTCTTATTTTCAGTGTTAATGTCCTTCCAATCACGAAGCGACCACATCAGAAACTTACAGAAAGTCCGTGTATCCATTGGACTTTGTGACCATGTTCCCAAGTCACTACGATTGCTGATAATCCAGTCTTCCCTCGGGGTCCCTCAAGGAGAAATACCCTTCCGCTGTGTAAGCAACCGGCAAAAATCAACCGCCCTCATGTCTTTAAAAGCACTTATAGATTGTGTAGTAAAATTTAAGTTGTGGTTGTACACTGAATAAGTTATCTATTCACAAAATAACTTATAGTTCCCTCAGATAGAGATTATCAACAGAATGAAGTATTTCGTTTCCAAGCATATCAATGGTTTGGAAGAGTTTCGATATTTCAAATGTCAGTCAGTCAGCTACAATGTATTACCAGGCACATATATGCATCGGTCCAAGTTGCCACCTCATTAGCGCATTAAGATTAACACCAAATCTATAGTAGTAGTTACTTCAATGGTAGTAATATATAAAAGAAAGATTGCATATAATGATATAATACAGGAAGAATTAGTTCGTAGAAAGAAAGATATAAAGCGATTTCAATCTCACGGTTTAAGGGAAGAGAAAGTGTGTACACACATAAGCCATTGTGATCGATTCTGAGCCATGTCACACAGAATCTCCAACCACTGGTGACGCTAGTCACGTGGACCCCAACCAAGTATTCTGCATCTACCAACATGGCTCAGACCAGAAGTTAGTGACTTCAAGCACTGATGCCACGTTTTGGTTTGGCCGCCCTAACTTTCTTCCAAACGTCTCCAATACTAGTCATCTTATTGTGTTAATGAAGTGTGGCAACGTGGACCGATGGATATATATGCCTGGTCCTATGTTGTAACTGGCTGACTAACTGATATCATTCGCACTTTGTCACTAATATTTACTTCTTTCGTGTATCATCTAACTAGTGTCTAAATAGAGCACTGGGTTGGTGGTTGAATCTTTCTTCTTTCAATCACTATGTTAAGTGTTCGCATGTGGCTATAAATATTTCCATATAAACAACCGAGTGATATCATTAGCCTTGATCGGAAGTGTGGCTAAAACCGGGCAACGTATACTTAATTACTAACTTGCACTACTATCAGATTAACTGCCAAGTTGGGACTGACTCTACTGTTGATTTTCATGTAGCTACACTTTTTGGCTAGTGAATTTTTGAAAATCGAGCATCTTGAATTGTTTCAGATTAAAGTCTCTTGATATATTTTGCTTTCAGAGTTGGTCATTTGTTGGATTCAAAAATGATACAGTTTTATTGTGCTGAAGCTGTGGAAGCCGTTCATTCATTGCACCAAATGGGCTATATTCATTGGTATGTTTATTTATTGGCAGTTTATTCTTATTGTGATTATATCTTCTCAAATTCTCTAGGTAAAGATGACTTGGAATTTCATCATAGTTTCACCATATGACTTCCTATAAATGATAAATCATAATGATTTTTGAGGACATTTTTATCGTTTTTGATTTTGACTAATAATTGAAAATTACTTTATTATCTTTTAGTGACCTAAAGCCTGAAAATTTCGCAATTGAAAGGAGTGGACATCTGAAGCTAATTGATTTTGGTTCGGCTATCAGGCTTGATGCTGATGGAAAAGTAATTTCAAGTGTATAATTTTGTCTTATATGTGATTGTTTAAATACCTTGATGACTATTTGTGAATTGAACTATCTTTTTCAAGTCAATTCCAAAGGTCTTATTTCGGCGAGTATAAGAATCGATGCCTGGTTAACTAGGCTGTTTATCATCATCGACCATTCATGTTTTTATGTGGTTATCTTATGATTTACTACCTCTATATCTCTGGTTTTCACTAATTAGCAATTCGCTATAAATTTAGTCTTTGTTCCGTAACAATATATAGAGTTGTTATTCTTACTATTTATTATCATAATTGTTTCTGCTTTTCTTATAGCTAGTAGCCTTTTCCATCTACTCTAGTATTAAATATAAGTTTGCTTTTTTATCGCTTGGTTTTTGGACAACTGTCAAAGTAATTGTGGTACAATTCTTTAAAATTTTGTTTCAATTTATCCTAAAAAAGTCGAAACAATAAACAAATAAAATTGGACAAGAGATTTTCATTATTTTATTTGTGACACAGCTTGCGACGGAAGACTACAGGAAAATTATTCAGGAAATGGTGAGAAGTACTATGAGATATAGTTCAAATAAGGACATAACCGAAATAAACTACATTCGGATAAGAAATGCCCCTTGCCTTTTATTAAAAGTAACAGAAGATCAGGATACCTGTCTGGTTTTCACTTAAGCGATGGTTGATCACATTTTTATCTACCGGGTTACTTCTGATTCTTGGGTCTTCATTTACAAAGTTGTGGTGAACCGGTGAGCACTATTCCGATACAACTGTACTTGATTCCGCAAAAACATCTCATGGAAATATAAAACGAAACTGTAGAATAGATGCTATTTTGTATTACCAACTGCTCAAGGTATACAGAAATATATAGTCTCAGCTCATATGTATCACTTATCTTAATAAATGTTTTTAAATATTTACCAAACCTGAATAAGTAGTGAACAAAGTGTTTCGATGAATAATCACTGAATATATTTGTGTTATTTCGTAGACAGATCGCTTACTTAAATCAAGACAGAAAACGAAACTAATTGGTGTTTAAATATAATGAGCACGTGTATCGAACGACTGATCGATAAGTTAATGGGGCACGGGTTTAAAATCTCGTTGGTTAATCCACGTAGCCTAAACTTGACACCCAACCTGCTGGTTTTTCCACACATACACACCAACGAATGATGATAATTTTCTGTGGTATGGTAGCTGTTACCATCGTGCGGGTCGCTAGTTTCTGTTCATTTTTTTCGAGTGATATGCTACATCACCTTGGTATGATAGGTAGTACATGGAAGAGAACAACCACCTTACCATAATTATGAAGTTTTGTCACTCATTCAATAATACCCAGTCAGAGTGAGTTAGTCACGTTAGATACAAACTAATAACTAAGAATGTCATTTACTTGATTTCGCCAGACCAATTTCTTTTATAAATTATTTCGACTCAAAATGTTAAATTTTTCATTTTATCTTTTCTCTAATTGAATCGTGTTTAAACTGGTTTTTGTATTGTTAATGCATCGACACATGTTGTGGTTCACTAAACGTTTCGCCTTTTCTATTAAGAAAGATGAATGCAAAATAAATATACTTCCCCCCACATACACACTAAATCGTCTGTATTTTATGAAACCAGATTTAATTGTAAACCTTCATTCAGTCCGCATATGAATTTCTTTGACAAGAAATATAATACACACTTTAGTTATTCATCAATCAGTCATTTAGTTGATTAGAGAAGTTTGTTTAGATGTGGCAATAATGTTTAACTGTTTTTGATTTAGTGACTTTCTAATCGACTGTCATTTTTATTTTGAGCACCATTACATAAACATATGTTCACGTGCTGAGTTAATCTGATTGTTCTTTCTTTTTTTGATTGACATTAGTGTGTCTGTCCTACAATGGTTGGGACAAAAGAATATCTGAACATTGAACTTTTACGACAACGTGGACGTCATAATCAAGAACCATTACTTGTTGGCCCTGAATTCGATTATTGGGCGATTGGTGTCTTATTATATGAATTATTTTATGGACAAACGCCTTTCTACGATGAAGATGATGATGCAATGATGCAGAAAATCATGGATTATCGGGTAACTTCTTTCATTATCATCTGTTTAATCAAATAATGCTTTATTTTTGTTTTTTTTGTGAAGAAAACACTAAAGTTCCCTGCAACCGCTGAAATAACAGACTGTGCTATTCATTTAATTAAATCACTAATTATTAGTCCATCGAAACGTTTAAGTTATGAAGATGTTGTTATGCATCCATTTTTCAAAGATATTGATTTCTCTGCATTGAGACAAGGTTAGTTATTTTGTTGCTTACTTCTTTTAATTTACGTTTTATTTTGTTTATTTGTTTTAATTTATGACTTATGTTTTGTATTTGATGGGTTGTATATTTTAATCTAAGTCTACATTCAGGCAACGTTGTTGGTGATAAAATCCCAGACGTATTTCTCAGTATGTATCCCTCCAGTGCACTCTCATCCAATCAAATACTTAATCACCAATCCATATAGGTCTTTGTCTCAGTAAATATCAAAGTTCTACCATTATAAGTCGCTTATGCGTCTTCTTTTACCCTTCGTGGCACATCACTGCTGGTTGTCTCAAGTCTGTTTCTGTCAATAATTGATCATTCATTGATGTTGTCAATAAGCCACAATTCTCTGCATTACTGTTATTCAATACGCATGATTTGAATCTGAGTTACAACAAAATGTGTCTACAGGGTGATGAGTTTCGTGGCTTTCTTTGGATAGCAATATGACTCGGGATTCCTAAACGTACGTTTTAATTGTATACCCATCTTAAGTTTTCATTATTTATGATTCCTGTTGTCTTGTTTTGTATAGTCACTCCTCCATACTTGCCCCCAGTTGGTGAGTTAGACGATGTTTCAAATTTTTCCGGCGGTGGTTCTCGTGCTCGTGATGAGGCTATATTGGATGTCTCTAGGAATCAGACTTTCTCCCCAATACGTTATACAAAGTCATCTGTTCAAGACGGATATGTCACTCAGTGTGCTACTTTAAACAATGAAGAAAACGAAGAAGACGAAACTGTGCTGGTAAAGCCTTTAGATACTGAAATTTTGAATGATGAGAATCAGGAGAATATTAATCCACATAAATCACCGTTGTCCCCCGAAGTATTAAAAAGAAAAGCTATTCAAGAAGCTGCTGCTGTACCAATAAATGAAGAAATTGAAGAAATAGAAGATATAGAATGGGAAGGTTCTGAGTGTGTCCGGGACTTACCATTCTTGGGATATACGTATACACCTGGATTAGTATTATTCGGAAACCTTTCCAAGAAACAGGTTCATTCGACCGCCGTTGCTCATGTTGGAACATCAGTAATAGCTAATATCAGGTAGTCTTTAGTGTATTCCAAATACTCGGGTTATAACCGTTTTGCTAGCATTTAATTTGCCAATACTGCTGGTCTATCCGAACTGTTCCTGTTTTGTTAAGACTTTCAAATAACAGTCTCCCAAATCTCTTGCTAATTGTCACTGTCTTCTGTTTTCTACATTCCAACCGTGTGTGTGGTAGCTGCTTCAGTTGGTCCAGTGTCTTGAATATAGTCATTGGTTGGTTATCTTGTTGATAGACCTTCACTACCATGATACTTAATACTTTCAATAAGTATATCTCATATTCTCATATTTTGCTTTCATGTTGTATCATATAAATTGAGGTCGATATTCAAACAGATCACGATTCTCAAAAGTTAGGTCCTGTTTACTCATATTAGTACCCACAAATGGTCCCAAACAGTTTTTATTCGTATGTTGCTTATATTTCCCAAATTCACGAATTGTGGAATTTTTTTCAAAGTTTTCTTCCTGTACTTTTAATCCACTAGAGGATCCTTAACAGACATTACCGTGATGTAATATGTTTCAATCTTATTGTAATACTTTTTATCAAATGACTTAATTGAATGTTTTGTTTAGAAATTAGTGTATTTCTACTACATCAGTTTTTAACCCATCAAATTTGACTTCTCTACGAGTGAGATTTAATTTTATGGTGTATTTTTATTGTTGTTGGAAATTTATATTTGGGTCTTAAAGCTAAATTCTTGGTTGAATGGTTATTTATCATTTAGTTGGAGTCTTAGTATATTACTTTATGTTACGTATGTTTGGTCATTCATTGCTTCTCATTAAAATTGAAAGAAACAATGATTTATCAGGTAATGTGACTAATTTATCAAGTACAGATTACATTTTTTTCCTTGTTGTCTGTTTTCGTTCACGCCAATGATGGTGAAGTGTAGAAATGGCAACTATTCTGATGGAATACATTTGGTTGTTTCTTGCCATTTCGTTCTACAATCAGTTATCATTCTTGTCTTTTTCATATGTTGGCCACTGCGAGTTTCTCCTTGAAAGATTTTCAATATCAATACTTTTTAAAATATGCCAATTAGTTAGTTTCTTTATGATGACAATAATAGAATTTCCAATTTTGAGGTTAAATAGGATCTAAACTTTTTTCAATCCGGTAAATTTGCATAATAATGTAGTGAACGAGAACACAAGTGGGTGCAATCGAATGTATTTGAAAACAAAATTACAGAGCACCGTACTAAAATCTGATAACCGTACAGTAAATACTTAATTTACAAAATATCATGTCGATATAAGTAGCACACGCCACAATACAACCGCATAACTTGTTATACTTCTTCATGTCACGTTTATAATGCCACTACTTGAAACCAATTAACCGTTTTATACAGACTCTTCTCTGTGTCACAGCTCACAGTTTGTCTTAGTGAGTATAAAGTCCATAATTAATGTTGAAAAGAAAGTTACAGTTAATTGTAGCATATGTTATATTCCTCAATATTATTTCTAAACCAGAAACTTTCACTTTTATTAATATTGTATTATTGTTCCTCCTGCTTCATTATTAATATAGCACACCTTACAGACGAACATTTATTGAAAACCAAGATTCATTATCTACATCACTTAGACATAGCATTGGTTGTTCTGACGTTGGGCGACTTAAGGATGCCAAAAAAACGAGTGATCCTGAAATTGTCGGTTTATCTGAACTTCAGCAACGTAATCGACAGTTATGTGAACAAATTGAACAGCTACAACTACAGAATAAAGAGTCTGAGGTATGTTGATTTTTACGATATTTTATATATAATCTTGTTATGGGCCGATTGTCACTTTATTTTCCATTAGTTTGTCAATCATTAACGAAATTCATATCATTGTTGACAGCGTTTGTGTCATTCACATATTTTCACAATAGTTTCCTTAAATTTTTGATGTTATTTTACTTTCAAAACGTGATTGTTTCATCTGTCCTACTTTGTTCATACTAAAACTATTTATTTGTCTAGTCGATCTTAAGAGCAGTATTTGGATTCGTCAATTATATCACTGGATACTTCTGAACGTGTGAATGTTAGTACTATTCTTCATCACTTTTGTATGTACTTGTATTCATGGTACATTAAAAAACATAGCTTATTTATTTTCAACCTATCGTTATCCTAGGTTCTGTCGTCACAACAGAGTTATATTCTTTATTGTTTTTTGGTTTTGTTAAAAGACAAAAAGTGGCCAGTATTTGACGTTTATGTAAAATACGTTTTTTTGTATTGTCGCTCACATATTCTTACAAAATATTTAGACAAGACCTACATAACTACGTTAAACTGTTAACTAGTAGGAAAGTTTAGACATATGGTCGTTGCGAATGTTGATCTATTTTCGTGTTATTATTTCTTTAATTCTTTAAGGTCAATTAAAATAACTCCCTATTTGTTGTAGGTTTTTTTGTTAACTCATTAAATGGCGTTTAGTTAGTAAATAAAACTGTTTTACAATTTTGTTTTATTTGTCTATTAATTTATGTTTTCTTTATGGTTCATGTGAACTTAACAGTAACTTGATATATATCATTTATTTGTTGTATCTCTTCTGTTTATGTCTGTAAGGCAATCTGATTGTGTAATTCACGTTGTTTATTTATGTTGTGTATAGGATTTACGTCAACGATTGTTAAGTGCATTCGACAATGGTCATGTCCTGAAAGAAATTAATGAAGCTGTACGTGTTCTTTCTGATACAGTCGTTGAGAAAGAAAAGTTAGTCTTCTAATCCACTTTCATATAATTAGGGTTTTTTGTGTGAAATTTTTTTTACCGTAGCGCATTTTTATATGATATTGTATAATTATTATTGTTTCTAAGATTTTGATTAGCTTTTCTGTTATTCCAGTTTTAAAGTTCTTCCCTGACGATAGTTACTAATCTTATCCATAATATATGTCGTTCCATTTTTGTTCGTAATAGATCTACTGTTGGTCATTTGAATTCTAGAATAAAACACCTTCAGGAAGAAAATGTTCGTTTGACTGCTTCAGTACAAAGTTGTCAACAGGCACAAGCTATAGTGGATCAATTGCAACACGCTGTGGTATGCATTTTTGCTCTTTTTAGCATTATGATCTTAGTATAATCTTTTGTTGTAAGATGATGTATGTCATTTATTGTTGCTTGAGTATTTCTTAGAAATCATAAATTCAAACCCTAAACAGAAATGATTGGTGGCTAGCAGTGGAATCCAGGATGCGCGTTTCGTCCTATTTGTGACTCGTCGGTTGATGTTCATTCCAAGACTCGAACTAATCTACGCAATCGATCAATATCTTTTGACATATATGCATCTTGTGCATATTGCCTAGATATTGACGTTTGAGTCCCGAAGTAAGCATCAATTTTGGAATCCAGGTACATCTAGTTGACGAGTATCAGATAGGACGAAACACTCACCCTGGATTCCACTGCTAATGACCAGTCATCTCTGGTTATAGTGTTTGTAAATTAATGGCAATATCAAGGCACATATTCCGAAATGAGATTGGTTAATTTCACTCCTAAACGTCAGTGGGAAGATTCAAACAACCGATACAAATTGACTTCTAAGCTGAGAAAAATCTTTACTTCATTGGTTAGTGCTATTGACGTACAGAATTTCTAAAGTGTTAAATTCCATTTCCAAATCAGTAAGTATGATATTTTAATTTATCACTTCGGGTGTAATTCTTTACTACTAAAAAATAATTTACTTAATACTCCATCGTATTTATGCTCGATAATTTTATAGGGGTTGTAGACGGACCAACATTTTGTATAAAGAAATCTTATTTTATCATTTTCTCATGCGTCAAATTTAGAGATTTTCCAGTGTACGTTTTACTAACTTTTTAAGTAATGAAAAGTTACAAGTAAATTATACGAAATAGTAAATTAGTTTTATATTTCAACTGTGTTTAGGAGAAATTTTATCTAGTCCTATATTTACATGGGTCTTTATTTTGTAAACTCAAGTTATTTGTTGGTTAATTTCAGAAGCTTATTTGTATCGATGTACTTGATTCTCCAAGCCTTTTCTCAAATAGATTCCTAGTAGTTTAATATACTTGAATCCAATGTCTTTTGTTGTGGTGATGAAAAATAGATCTACTTACTATAGTAATTTGTTATTCTGGATACATAAATATGTTCCTTTAAAACATAATATTTTAGTGGAGTTTCGTTCTCTGAGGTAGTTGGTTTAATCATGTAGTTTTCATTATTCTTCTAAGTAGCATCAGCATAAAGTCCAGGTGGAAGTACGTTATTCAAATTTCTGGAGATATGATGGACAACTTGTTCTCTCTACCATCTCGACAATGTATTTTTAAGTTGTAGATCCATAAATGTTGTTTTTATTATTTTATCGCTATTTCTTTCACATTGTAAGAAACTTATCATAATTCAGTACTCTATGATTTTATTCTACTTTTAAATCTCAGTCTCGTCTTTCAAATTTGCCAAGTAATTTTACAGAAGCGGATTTACTTGATCTGCTAACTGGACTATGTCCACCTACAGTTTACACAACACCTGAAATGCTAGCTGATGTTTCACTGTCAACTATACGTACATCTAATTCATCAGATAATCTTATTGGCTATGAATTAGTTCATCGTCTTATCAATTTCGCTCTCAAACAATTTAAACATGCTTCTAATCGTGCAAGACAATCATGTTATGCATTAGAATCGACTAATGCTGAGCTGAAAAAAGCTTTAGATGAATCAAAGCAACAAGTTAATCAATTGGTGGAAACTATTGATGGATTAATTGCAGATCAACGTCGTTATCGTGAGACTGAGAGCAATCTTAATTGGGAAATTAAAGTTAGTTTTTTCTCTGTTATTTAACTTGTAATCATTCAGAAATATCTGTTTAACGACAAACGGGGTTATACATGTTTCTTAATGAACGTAATATCAAACATAGATCGTGTACTTGTTAACAGTTTGATGTATCATTTGTGAGTATTCTTTCGTCCGTCAATTGATATAGTCATCCAAACAAAATATTGATTTTCTCTTTTGTGCAAGTGTTAATATCACATTCTCTGTCTGTGATATTTAAGTCTTGTTTATTGACAATGTGGTCGAAAACCTAATTTTATGCAGAAAGATAGTTTGTTAGTTAGATTTTCGCATAATTGATTTTATTATACCCAATACTTATCTCCTTATATTATCTACGAGTTTATATGATACATGTAATTATATCTAGAGTCATTTCAGTTCTGAATTAATACAGATATTGACCCAGATTGTCAAGATATCAAGTGGAATATACTTAGTGTTTTTTATGTTAAATTGTTTGTATTAATTAATAATAAATACTCATTATAGGGGGCAAATAGTTGTGTTAATTGTATTGAGACGATTTATTTTCTGTATATATGTAATTTATCCTATTGATCGTAATGTGCTTTATTTCCTGTTTCGGAAGTATGTTGGTATTTGGCTTATTCATCTATTCATAAAACCATGTCAGTACCACGTTGAAAAACCGTCCCACGTAAAGAGTTCTGGGTAACCTTTGTACATTGATGTGGCTTATAAGCCTAGTACACTGAACATGTCTGGGTATAGTTGTGTTTCACATCGTCTTCATATTTCCTATATCAGTGTCGTCTAATTGAGTATCAGAAAATTAGCAGTTGTTGTATGATGCAAGGCTTACTTTTGTAGATGTGTTCAACTAATGTAAGAGTTTCTATAGCTTACCGTTTTATTTTAATATTCATATCTGCAGGAATTGAAACAAAAGCTTGACGATTCGAAGGATTATCAACGTGATTTACACCAGAAGTTCTTGCAATTCGAAGACAAATACTTCTCAGCACGAGAGAGGTTAAAAGAAGAAGAAAAGGTTTGCCATCGTTAATAAACTAATTTTATGCAAATCACTTTTATCCCAGTTTCTTGAAGAGGGGAATTAGAACTTATCAGCCAAAAGTTATGTAACTTGTAGCTGTAGAAAGTTAATTTTACGTACACGCGACCATGACAGTCTAAATTTCTTGCACAACAGCAATTGCTAACGAATAACCTAGATAACGTTGTTGTCTGTAATGAGCGTTTTCGTCTCACGATATAATCGATACTACGATTAACTAATGTTTTCGAGTCCTAGTCAGTGAAAGACTTAAAACCCTAGCCTTCGTATTTACTGTCGTTTTTGTAACAGAAATGCAGACTTGTCATTGTCTTCAATCTCTACTACGTAGTGAACTTTCGTATAATTGTACCAATGTAGTCCACTAGCTTTGAATGATTATGCTTAAAATTGATTTTAAAAATCTTATAGCCAAAGTATGTAGACAACTCCGTTTGATTGAGTTAACTTGAAAACTTGTATTATTTACAGTATTTTGTTTTTCTTTTATCCGAGTCTGTAAATATTTTTTTCGTCACCTTGAGTAAAATTATTGATAGGAATAAGTTGAAAAAAAACTAGGAATATCCAAACTACGACGTTTCGTCAATTCAGAAGATAACTGACTCGTGGACTAAACCTTTTTGACAGACTCAGACCATTAGATTGGAGTCCACAGTCATCGTAACCAGTGGTTGGAGACATTAGGTGGTATGACTTATAATCAATCGATGCGGCACAGATTCTTTTACTCTTTGTTTTCCGTTATATCTTGAGTTTCAAAATTATCTTATACTTTGCATCCCTTAAATTCGTTATTTCTTGCTGAATCAATTTGTTCATCCCCAATCTTTTCTGTTACTACTTCTATCACTTACATTTGTCTTGATAATTTCATCTCACTATACTAATAGTTTAGTATGAAAACTTGAAGCGATACTCATAAGTACTGGGTCCTACGCTGCTTATGACTAACTGGCTGGCTATGATATTTGACTTATTACCATTATGTCAATTATTTGAATTCTTATCAAGTTATATTTGTTACTTTAAGGAATACGTATTCCATACATTCTATTGACTTTATTTTACTAATTCACTTTTTGTCTTATAGAAAAACAAAGAGATTACAGAGAAACTTGAACAATTGACACTTAACTCAGTGCAAAAACAACAGAATAATTCATCTGAATTGCAAACACAATCGTAAGCTCTTCTGTAATTTCAAATCTACTTTTAGTTTTTAAAATATATCTTTTTATTATCAAAATTATCTCGGAACCAAATGATTTGTACATCAATGATATATTCACGTATGAACTCGGTAGTATACTTGTTTACCTGTAGTATATTTTGTTTTGTTTATATGCTTCATTGTAAATTTTAACAGTACCTCATAATAATTTAAACAGTAGGGAATTTTAAGTTAGCTATGTCCCCCAAGAATACAATGATTGTTGGTTAACTACTTTCAGTGGTATGATACTAAATCACTCTCTTCAATAAACACCTAGGTTATTTCAAAATCTGTTGATGTGATGTATTTTTATTCTTCTTTGTTTTGATTCGATGCTTTATTGTTAGTGATCATTGTGTTTAAAATCGCTATCAAGATGAGAGAGAGATTGTCAAAATCATTTTAGCCATATTTACATTATCTGTTTTGCTTTTCTTTTTTTAATGCCTCATCGGTACATTGCGAAATTGATAAATGATTTTCGTTAAACAACAATTCATCTTGTTAGTCGATATCAAGTTTTAGTAGACTATGAAAAGACGAGTAATAACTTTTCGATTACTGTCATTAAACATATATGATTGAAGTTTTGCTATTTCATAATTACTGATACAGTTGATGATGGTTTTTCTTATTTATATATTAGTGGTCAACTTAGTTTATTGGTTGAACGTAATAAGGAAGTGGAACGAGAACTTGCAGCTTTAAGAAATGCCTTGCAAGAAGCAACACAACAAAATGGGTCCGAATTAAGTGAATTGAGAAAGCAGTTGGATAATGTAAGAACAGTAAGTACTCTTCGATTACGTCCTTTTTATCGTTTGATGCGTAGTTAGTTCGTCATATTTTTTAAATTGATTATGATCATGTGTATACACTATTGTGGATGGGGAAAAATGCTATTGAATCAGCTCTAGAAGCCATGAAATGAATCCAAGTTGACAATAAGATGTATAATAAATTCATTCAGATTGACTTAAAGTTAGTAAAATGACTTGGTGTATGCTAATTTTTGTTCAAATTCGTTCATTTATTGTTCTCGTGATGCTCCATAAACTAAAATTAAATATAAATCATAATAATGAACAATATATTGTCGCACTTTACTATGTGTGGGTACATTTGTGACCTTAAGACCAAAGATCAAAGCTTTTGAAATCACTGAGCAAAATATCTCAAAAAATGTTATAATCAATGTTACATATGATGTTACCTTTTTCCCATTATAACCTAAATGTTTTTATCTGTTCACTTGTACTGTTATTTTTGTAACTTGATCATATTGTTTTAATCGTACTAAATGTTTGTTATTTGTATTTTGTAATTTCATCAATTTCACATATTTCTCCAACAATTTGTAGTTATCTACTATTGTTTTCTTTTGTTTTCAAGGAGAAAGAGCATTTATTCAATGATAAGCAATCTGAACGTCGTCAACTAGAGGAACGAGCAGATAAAGCGGAAACGCAATTAAAAAGTCTACGAGATCAAATTGCAGTTATGCTTACTGAACGTGGTCGTTTAGTTTCACTTTCAGCAATCGACTCTCAGGTTAGTTAAACTAAATTAATTTATGCGGTATAACATTTTTTACATACAACATTCATTGTATGGCCTTTCACTGTTATTTTAAATGAGATCCTCGGTATTAACTTCAAATAGAAGTCGATTTATCTAGGTCGTTCCACAAGTACGACGTCGTTCTGTTCTAATTACCTTGTTCATAGGATGTTTATTACTTTTATATGCGTTCTTAGATGTCTTTGTTTGTAGGATTGATATCTACCTAAAAGTCTCTCCAGTTGATATAGATTATTATGACTGATGACATATTATATGATTTAACTAATAATCTGCTTTCGTAGATGACATTTTAACCTTTTCTTATATTCTGCGTCATGTAACTAATACAATATATTCTGTGATGGACATTGAATTGATTTTGTTTGTTATTTTCAAAAAATTCTAAGACTGTAATCCTAATTTTTAAGGATTTTGATACATGAAAAAAAAATTCGTTTTCAAATTTGTGTATCATTTTAATGTGGTTGATAGAGTGGGGTTTTCTTAAAGTCATTCTCCTATTTGCTTATTATTTTATTCTTTTCCCTTAAATCATTTTAGCGCTTATCAGATATGCAACTACAATTAAATGACGCAATAATGAAAAAAGAATCTGCTGAGATTTCTCTTCGTGAAGCAACACTTCGACTGGAAAGATTAAATACTACACATAATCAAACGGTATAGTTTCTTTCACTGTTTAAATATTTTCTTTTGAAACTGTTTCTAGTCTAGTGTACATTTTATTGCATTGTAATTACTTCAAGTTATAATATGGATGATTTTAATAGCCTAATTTTATCGTTCTACCTTTGTTTTTTTCCTGCGAAACAGCTTATTCTTGATCAAATGAGAAATGAATTTGAATCAACAAGGTCCCAGTTGAGAACTGCTCAAACTGAACTTATTCAATATAAACAAAATGAGGAATTGTTACGGTAAATGTCTTCTTTATATATTTTTGTGTTGGGAAATGTTTTAAACATTGTTTTTGTATGTTTGCATGAATTATATTTCCCAAGTAATTTTACCTGTGATTTATTTTTTCTCATGTATTCTTGCTACTGATATTCTATTTTAGTAAATAATCAAATAATATATGATTATTGACAAGTGTTTCATGTATTCTATTCACTGTAACTTCATTATTTGTTGTCTATTTTCAGCGAACGCGTAGCTAACTATGAACGTGAGATTTCTGACCTGAAGCAAGAAGTGACGCTTCTGCGAACACGACATGATCAATTACAGGCTTCTATTGCTTTAGGTCATGTGAGTCCTGTTGATAACTCTTGCATTCAGATCACCTGTTTATTTTCGTATAACACTATGTCTTTTCATCGGTTTATCAATGATTTATTCTAAGAGTTGTAAGCTGAGTATCAGGTTTTTCTGTTGTTTTAGTGCTGAATTTTCATTGATTAAGCGTCACAATTTGATTGTATTGATAATTTAATCATCACAAAATTAGTCTTGTGAACTGTTTTATATACTGTATTTAGTTTACAAGTTGTACACTAAAAAGTCAGAAAATTCAAACTAAAATTAACATCCAATTTTTCATACATCGAAGAATATTTTAAGACAATATCACTTATGTTTGCAAATATCAGCCACTTCTCATTTCACATCTGTACAAACTTGAATAGATAGTAATGACTTCTAAAGGAGGTCCTTATGATTTTGAAATACAACTTATTTCTATGAAGTATATATTAGATTTTCAATAGTTTAACTTCATATTCTGTACATCTTTGTTAATTACTTCCGTATATCGTTTTTCATACTGTACAGACTGCTGAAAATTCATCTGAAGTGCATAATCAATTAGTTACTCTCACTAATGAGAAACAAACACTCCAAGACGAGGTAGGTTTATTTCTACTTTCATTGTTCAGTTTTTGTTTGCTCGAGACAAACTGTCAAATTAAATTTCGTTAATCTTATATTTCAGATAGATCAACTGCGGACTCAAGTTGAACGACTTCGTCTCAATAATACACAACTTCTCAGTCAACGTGATACTGCTCGTCAAGACGCTCGAGAGTCAGAAATGGCAACAGTGAGAGCTAAAGAACTAGGCGAAGCAACGCAACAAGCACTTGAGCGTGAAGTTCATCGTCTTTCTACTATTACAGAACAACAAGGGAAGTTGATCAATCACATGCGTGGTCTTCTACCCCCGGAATTCAATAACACTCATCGTAATTGCTCTGCCGATGGTAGTTCAGATTATCAAAATTCTGAAGGTGGTAAACGACGGGCTAGTAAATTTATAAGTTCTAAAAGTCGTCGACCAGGTGCTCCTTTGATTTCAGCAGCATCTGCTTTTTTCAATAAACATCGTAAACGTGAAGTAAAGACCGAGTAAGCTTGACTTATATTTTTTATTAAAGCTTCTTTTCATTTTTATAAAATAAGTTTCGTTTGTGTTCATCTTTGCTCTGTCCGCGCTAAGACTAACTTTTTAATATTATATGTTTTAACTACAGATCTAATCCTGAGAATGTTGAATATTTATCATCTAATGAGTTTACAAGACAACCCAGTCGTATACAAAAGATGATGAGCAAAACACGTCTTAACTTCAAAAAGCATTCTACTATGCCCGTTAAAGTAGATTATTCTGTAAATGCACCTTATTATACAACATCAGCAAATGATGAGTGTTACATGGAAGATTATGATCCGCTAGGATATGATGTATATTCTGCTGATGATGCTGATTTTGATGATGGACTTCCGTTTCCCGCTCCTTCAACCTTTGCTGTTCCACATGGTCGGCCACCTAGAGCAAGTGATAATGTGTCAAATACTGGTAGTACATCTTCCGCTCCAAGTACAGCCAGTTCTGCTCCAGCTGGTCCAGTAAAATTTGTCCGTGATCATTCATGGCACAGAAATCGATCAAAGATTCATGTAGGTTGGGCAGATGGTAATGATAAACCGGAATTAAGTAAAGTAAGTTTCTCAACTGAATAGTTTTAAATAAATTTGCTATGAAAATGATTTACATTTTGCTAGTCTTAAAGTTATTGAATTTCAAGTATAAATCTGATCACAACGTTTATTTCACCCTAAATCATTTGTACTTTTCTATTCTCTAAATTATGAATAAATATTGGTTTATTCTTGAAAAAAACCAAGTAGTCTGAAATAATCGTGAGAATTCCACTCTAATTCGCTGTATAAATTAATTCTCTAACTAAATTATAACATTCTATCCTAGTAGACATAGAATTTTGTCAATATTCTACTTCAATACAATTAATACTTTATTGTAAGTGTTTATAGTTATCGAATACTGGAGTGTAGTTTCATGTACTCTGAAATGTTTCAAGTCAGTGAGTCATTTCATCGCTCTCGATAATGTGACATGTTTTTTTTCTTTTGTTAAACCGAAGAAAAGGTTTATACAAGTGCAGAATTATCATAATATATATGCCCTAATTTATATTGATAATTAAATTTATATCCGTAGGAAATGAAAAAGTAATGAGTCGTTATAATCGTCACTTTTGTAAATGCAGTGTACATAAGGTTCATTTGTGTTCATCTACAGATGAAAGAGGGAGATTTGAAAGTATTTATGTCCCTTTGGAAAGAAAGACCTAGTGAAGAAATTGAACAGATCGATTTTGGCCCATTTAGTGCAAACTCGTCATACTTACTTACTTACACCTGTTACTCCTCGTGAAGGAGCATAGGCCGCTCACCAGCATTCTCCATCCAACCTTGTCCTGGACAACCCTTTCCAGCTCCTTCCAGTTGTTATTCATCTTCTTCATATCTGCTTCTATTTCCCGACGTAATGTGTTCTTTGGCCTTCCTGTTTTCCGTTTCCCTTCAGGATTTCAAGTCAGGGCTTGTCTCGTGATGCAGTTTGATGATTTGCGTAATGTATGTCCTATTCACTTCCATCGTCTTTTCCTAATTTCTTCTTCAGCTGGAAGCTGGTTTGTTCTCTCCCACAAAAGGGTGTTGTTGATGGTATCCGGCCAATGGATGTTGAGTATCTTGCGAAGACAGCTATTTATAAATACTTGTACCTTCTTGATGGTGGTTGTTGTAGTTCTCCAAGTTTCAGCTCCGTACAGTAGAACCGTCTTGACGTTCGTATTGAAGGTTCTCACTTTGATATTGGTTGACAGTTGTTTTGAGTTCTATATATTCTTCAATTGTAGGAATGCTGTCCTTGCTTTGCCAATCCTCGCCTTTACGTCTACATCCGATTCTCCTTCTTCATAGATGGTGCTTCCGAGGTATGTGAAGGATTCTACATCTTCCAGAGTTTCGCCATCAAGAGTGATTGGATTACTGTTCTCCGCTTTGAATTCGAGGACCTTGGTTTTCCCTTTGTGTATGCTGGGGCCTACTGATGCAGAGACTGCTGCTACACTTGCTGTCTTTGTCTGCATCTGTTCGTGTGTATGCGATAGGAGGGCTAGTTCATCAGCGAAATCCAAATCGTCCAATTGATTTTGAGCTGTCCATTGTATTCCGTGTTTTCCTTCAGATGTCGTGGTCCTCATAATCCAGTCGACCACCAGGAGAAAAAGGAAGGGAGAGAGTAAACAGCCTTATCTGACTCCGGTCCTTACTTGGAATGCATCTGTCAGCTGTCCTCCATGCACTACTTTGGATTGTAGTCCGTCTTATGAGTTCCGGATAATGTTGACAATCTACTCAGGAACTCCGTAGTGTCAAAGAAGTTTCCATAACGTCCTCTTATCCTTACTGTCAAATGCCTTTTCATAATCAATGAAGTTGATGTACAGTGACGACTTCCACTCAAATGATTGTTCGACGATGATCCGTAATGTCGCAATTTGGTCTGTGCACGATCGATCCTTACGGAATCCAGCTTGTTGATCTCGAAGTTGGGTGTCTACTGTATCTTTCATCCGGTTCAGCAACACTCTGTTAAAGACTTTTCCTGGTATTGACAGTAGTGTAATGCCTCTGTAGTTTTCACATTTACTCAGATCTCCTTTCTTTGAATCCTGATGAGGTGTCCTTCTTTCCAGTTCATCGTCACTTGTTCCTCCTCCCAAATCTTTTTGAATAGAAGGTAAAGCATATTTGTAGTTACTTCGATGTCTGAGTTCAGTGCTTCAGTTGGTATGTTGTCGGGTCCTGCTTGATTTGTCTGATGGTCATTCTGGTTTCTTCCGTCGTTGGTGGATTGACATCTATAGGAAGATCTGTGTGTGCTGCTTCGATGTTCGGTGGATTCATTGGAGCCGGCCTATTCAGGAGTTCCTCGAAGTATTCTATCCATCTATTCCGCTGTTGTTGAATTTCAGTGATTGGCTTGCCTTCTTTGTCCTTGACCGGTCTCTCTGGTTTACTGTATTTCCCTGATAGTTTCTTCGTTGTATCGTAAAGCTGTTTCATATTCTCTTGTCTAGCAGCTTTTTCCGCCGTCGTTGGTAGTTCTTCCACGTATTTCTTCTTGTCGGCTCTAATGCTCCTCTTCACTTGCTTGTTTGCTTCTATGTATTCAGCTTGTGCTTGGACTTTCTCTGCTCGTGTTCGGCTGTTGTTAATTGCTGTCTTCTTGTTCTTCCTTTCTTTGATCCTATCCAGTGTTTCTATAGAGATCCATTCCTTATGATGATGCTTCTTTAGGCTCAGAACCTCTTGACACGTTGAAGTTAATGCTTTGATACTTTTCCAGTTGCCCTCCATAGTGGTTTCTTCTTCCTTCAGTAGATCCTGTAAGGCTTGGGACCTGTTGTTGAGAGCTATCTTGAATTCGTTGAGTTTGTTAGTATCTCTAAGGAAGGCTGTATAGAACCTTTGTAGTGCTGTTTGTTCAGTTCTTCTTTAACTTCAGTTTTAAATTGGCCACAACTAGGTGGTGATCTGAAGCTATGTCAGTACCTCTCCTGGTTTTCACATCTTCCATTGTCCTTCGAAACTTTTTATTGACGTAAATATGATCTATCTAGTTCTCTGTGGTGTGATTCGATGAGATCCATGTAGCTTTGTGTATACGTTTGTGTGGAAATATTGTGCCCCCTATGACCGATTTGTTGAATGCCCATAGATGTGCGAATCTTCCCTCATTTTCGTTTCTCTCACCCAGTCCATGTCGTCCCATAATATCTTCATATCCGGTGTTGTCTATTCCGACTTTGGCATTTAGATCTCCCATTAGAATGGTGAGGTCCTTCCTTGGGGATTTCTCTATGATTGATTGCAGCCGCTCGTAGAATTGATCTTCAATGTCTTCGTTGCTATCATTGGTGGGTGCATAACACTGGATAATATTCATTGTGACCCCTTCTTTCTTTTTTCTGAGTGATGCTTTGATGATTCTGGATCCGTGAGATTCCCATCCTACAAGTACATTTCGTGCTACTTTGGACAGCATTAGAGCGACTCCCTGAGTGTGTGGAGCATTTTCCTCTTCGTGACCGTATTTAGCCTTTGTTGTCCAGCTTGTGTCCAATTGGTTTCGCTGATTCCCAGTATTGTCAAGTTGTATCTCCTCATTTCCGTTGCTATTTGACTGGTCTTCCCGGTCTCCCAGATTGTTCAGACGTTCCATGTACCTATAAAAATTGTTGCTCTGGTTGTTAGAAGGGGCATCGGCCTCATGGCTTCTGTAGGAACTCGACTTTCAACATGAGGCGTCATAGTTCTTCTGAATGAAGACCTTCTAACTCCCAGGGCAGAGTTTAAATGGTTTGAATTATTTTTTCTGGTAAGCGTTTTTTTAGCGAGTTAGTTTTCTACGGGATGGGGACGCTAACCCCATGCCCAACCCTCCTCCTTTACCCGGGTTTGGGACTGACAGTAACTCTAGAAGAGCTACAGGCGGAGTTAAACTCGTCATAGTGCCAGTATAAGTCAGTCTCTTTCGATCATTTATGGGGTCAGTAATTTTTGCCAAAGCCTGTCAGACTCAAAATCCTTCAATCGGCAAAAGCAGTAGCCTTCCAGATTAAGAAACTGGACCTATATGTATATATCTTCAACCGCTTTTTATACTTTGGCCAACCTCAGTATTTTTTATTATTGAATGACTTTAACTAGTGTACTTACAACCTTTCTTAGTCAAATATAATTGTATCTGTCATCTGTGTATTATTATTATCGCTACTATTATTGGTTTGGTGTCATTACTAATCTTCCAATTGCATGATTTATTTTCTTAGTATTCATCCCACTTTATTATTTCTTACTGATTTCATTTAAAATCTTAACACAATATAGTCTTGCACGAAATATTTGATGTAATTAGGGATTACCTTCTTATTTTTCTCACCCATATTTATTTTGATCATGATTCTCACAATTTCATTTAACGTATAAGCTGATTCAAGTTAACATTCCATATGAGTCATACCAACATTAACAATTTTATTCTATTTTGTTTAATAATCCTAAATTCACATGCTGTGACCTTAAATGATGAACTTGGCCAATTTTTGGGATTATTAATTTGGATATATAATTGTCGTTCTGAATTTTCTGCTTATTTCTTATTATAATATTAAAGATTCCCATTGTGAAAATTAGAACAACACATATAAGCGAACAATTGTTTTCAATTAGATCGTCATCAGGCTTCTTATTATCTCCACTGTTTTTTTTATCACGTTATTGTACAGTTAATTATGAATAAACCCCTTGAAGTTTTCTTTTAGTGTGATCTTTAGATTATTTTGATTTTAAAATCAGAATAACATAAGCATGTATTATTGGCACGCCGTGGTTTATCACGCGGTCGAATTTCTTGTCAATATATAGTTATATATTATATATATATATATAAAGAAATTCTTGCGAATCTCTGATTTCATTTAATGCTACAAACTGTTCTGATTTTATTCTATTTTATGTACATAGGTGCCATCAGCTTTGAAGCATCGTGTAAGTTTTCAGTTTTTTCTTTAAAAACTAATTTACGTAAAAATTCTTCATGAAATAATTGTATAGGCTGTTATATTTATTACACAGTAAGCTAATCATGATTACCGTCAATCTGAGCATTTGGAAAAATATACTTACTTTTTTAAAAGCGGATGGTAACATATTAAATGTTATTATCTTTACAATATCTTACTGAACTTTTTTTTCTCAGACCATTATTATAAAATTATCATTGTAGTGAACTATATTATTGAAACAAAATTTTAATGAATGAGTGTATTCAATTTTTTGTCTCATGTTAAAAGATATTTGTCCATACTTAGGTATTACGTATACTCAACCATCGCCTACCTTGACATTCAATGATGACTGATGTATGAGTAAACTAGGAGTTGTCAAGCCAAGATATGCTGTCAGTCCATGAAACCATGGACTGTTAGTTTGAGCCATACTGGAAAGCTTAGACTATCTTGTATGGGTTTGTGAAATAACCATGTTTAATGGTTGGGGAGACGTTAACTTTTGTGGTTGAAAGTCAGTTCCACTAGTGTAAATGAGTTTGTTCTCCATTGTCTTGAGTTTTAGCATTATTTCATACCTTTTCATTCTTCAATTTCATCTTCTTTATTTCACATCATATTCTGTAAATATACATTTTTTTGTTGTTATGGACGCGAGTATTACTTTGGTGCGTTTACTTATGGGTATCGTTAATTTCATATCATTGTGATGTTGTAGTGTAGTAACTTGAACGAACGCAGATCTGCCCCAGGTCCTACGTAGATAATCACATGGCAATATATTGCTGCCATATACTTATATACCTGCTTCGGTTTAGGCACCCGAGCAGTATCACAGCCCTCACACATATCAAATGAGATCTGTGTGGCGCATATGTATTTGGTGCCTCCGTGTACCAATATCTATGTGCTAAAATAAATAAATATATTTATATAACTTCCTAAATAACAGTTTATTTCGTTTAATTGAATTGTCATAGAATATGACCTAATATTGTGTAGTTTTCTTTTGACTTTCATTTATCTTATAAATAATTATTTTCCAGGGTCAACCGAAAATACTGAAACAATTGAGTAAAGTTCTAGGTCGTGGCAAACAATCTTCTACGCACCTTGATCCTAATCGACTTGATGATTGACTATTTCCTCACTAACAGTGTGTTTATGTTTGTGTTTATTTGTACCCAATATTTGTACTCCACATTAATCGGTTAAACTTTTAATATCATATCTCTTGGTCATATTATCCATGCATACATATATGCATTAATCTATACACGGCAACTTTATTTATGCACGGATTTATCTTTTGTTTTCCGTGGTTTATTTTTTTAATCAGATATGAGAGTGATTTTTTCAATATAAATATATGTATATATTTGCATACATATACAGTTTGTTTGTAACTGATCCTGTAACCGTATTGTTTTTATTAGTATATAATTTCTTTTAATGTTTTCGCACTTTTTCCTCAAAAATTATGAAGTGAATGTTTTCCATGGGGTAGGGGTCAGTCAGTAACAACGTAGAATTCGTATGTACGTACATCAGTTCGAGTTGCCGTACCTTACCTTACAGTTATACATATAGTTTCCTCATCGAATCACCATTTGACATTTTAGATGCTCTATTTTGAGAATAGTCATTATAGACCATTTTGTCCAACAATCTAATGATATGTATAATGTTTTGATTGAAAGTTATGTAATTCAACTGGGTTTCGTCACAAATTATGTGAGCATGAAATTGACGGCAATTCCGGATTATGTACTTGAGTAATTTAACAACAGAATAAGGGTTACAAAACTGATTCTGCTTTTCACCTTTTTCCAGATTTTGAGTGCATTCACAGGATTCAATTAATGTTCACCTGTATATTGTTTACTTGTCACTAGTAACTATAATATAGCAACCGTATTATCCTAATGTAAATATAAGTTATAGATAGAATTTACAGTTGTGTTCTTACTAAACATTTTACTTTATTTTTAAATCTGCATTCGTCATTTCAGTTGTAATCAATTATGCTTCAAGGAAATATATCAGATTACTAAGCAAACGTGGTTGATGAGGTAGTTTATAAATGTGCGCAAAGGCGGTCAGATGTGCAATAGTTCGAAGTTATTTTAGGGGATCTTGGAGTTTAATCTTAGGAAATGATGCTCAAACAACTTTAGTTGCTTAGATAACAGAATAACTATGCCTGTTTTCCGACACTAAGCACAAAGTGGCTTGCCGAAATCTTGTAGAGGTATTTTCCACATTTATGCAAGATTTCGATGACTAGACCGTACTTTAACTTTCTGATTGCTTCATTTTCTTTTGACATTGAGGTTACTTAATTACGCTCGTCAGTCGTCGTGGAGCATAGGCCGTCAATCTGGTATCTTCAACCTACTCCATCCCGGGCTCTCCTTTCCACTTGTCTAGTGCTGTTCATTGATGTCTTCCCTTGAGGATTCCGTGTTAGGAATTGCCCAGCGATGCAGTTCTATAAGTTGTGACCTATCCACCTCGGTCGTCTGTTCCAGATTTCCTATCCAGATGGGAGGTGGTTTTTTCGCTGCCATAGTAGGTTATTGTTGGTAGTCTCTGGCAATCAGTTCCAGAGTATCTTTCATAGAAAGCTGTTCACAAATACCAGCACCTTTTTGATGTTATTTGTAGTATTTTCCGAAATTTCAGATCTGTACAAAAACTGCTTTAGGTTTCTTGTCGAGAATTCTGACTTTGATCTCGAGTGACTGTTCTTTGAGTCCTAGATATTCTTCACTAGTAAGAATACTTCCCTTGCTTTGCCAATCTGTGCCTCCACATCTGCATCGGACTCTCCTTGTTTATCGGTGATGCTCATGTGTATATAAATTTCCACCTCTTCCAAAGCTTCATCAAGTGTGATTTGGTTGGTGCCGGCTGTGTTGTATCTTAGGACCTCGCTTTCTTCTTTGTGAATGTTGAAGCCTACTACTCCTACACTGGCTGTCTGCTCCTGCATTGAATGCTGTGTATGTATGGAAGTGGTAAGGCTTCTGCGGAATCCAAATCGTCTAGCTGAATCCATGCGGTCCATTGTATTTTGTGCTTCCCCTGATTTGGGGAGGCCTTCATAATCCAGTTAACCACTAGAAGGAGAGAGGACAAAAGTAAGTAGTCGTATCTGACAACCGTTATCTCGTGGAATTCATCTGTTTGCTGCTTTCTTTATACTATGCAGTGTAGTCTGTCGTAGGATTTCCATATGATTGTGACAATTCCAGGCACATCATAATGTAGGAGAGGATTCTTCTATCTACTCTGTCAAACGCTTTCTCATATCCAAGAAAGTTGATGTATGTTGACGAGTTCGAATCTGTTGATTGCTCAATAACGATCCGTAGTGTTGCGATTTGGTTGGCACACAATCGGATCTTATGCAAGTCAACTTGTTGGGAGTCCACTGAGTCGTTCTTTGGTTCAGTAATGCCGATGAGGACTTTTCTTGATATGAATATTGGTATGATGCCTCTGTATTTCTCACACTTACTATGATTTCTTCGGTATCTTGACAAGTTATCTCTCCTTTCAATCTGCCGGTATTTGTCCTTCGCAAATCGTCATGAAGTGGATGTGGAGCATTTTTTGCAGTTTACCTCCATATCTGGCCTCGGTGCTTCAGCTGGTATGTTGTGTGGTTCTGTTGCTTTGCCATTATTGATTTGTCCGGTGGTATTGATTTCTGTTAGTAAGGTAACATTTATAGGAGGGTCTGTGTGTGCTACTTCATTTTTTGGTGTGTTCAGTGAGTCTGATATATCAAAGAGCTCTTCTAGTGTTCTATCCATCTGTCCCGCTACTCTTGAATTCCGGTGATTGGTTTGCCTTCTCTGTTCTTGACTGGTCTCTCTGGTTTACTATATCTTCCTTGCTAGCTCCTTATTTTTATCAGGAGGTTTTCTGTTTTCCTTCTTTTTCAGCTTTTTCCCATGTCATTGCTAAATCTTCCACGTATTTTTACTTATCAGCTGTAATGCGCGTATTCACTCTTTTTTTCCTTCTGTTTATTCGGCCTGTGCCTTAACTTCCTCTGCTCTTGTTCGGCTGCTGTTGATTGCTGTTTTATTTTTCTTCCTTTTTTAATCTTGTTCGGTGTATCAGCAGAGATTCACTCCTTATGCTGGTGCTTCTTGTGGTCCAACACCTACAATTTGAAGTTATACGTTTCCTGATAACAATGCATCAATGAAAAACTGCACACTTACACTCATTGACATTGTTAACACTGAAGATCATATAATTATTTATTAGCTTCGTCAATAAATTGGGTATATCAGTACTTTATTAATAACACTTTGTACTTGCAGTGCGCCTAATATGATATCTGCGTTCAGGTAGCTGTTTAAAAAAGGAGTTAAACAACCTCTGATTCTAGAATGTACGATTCGTTAAAATATAATGAATTAATTTTATTCTGTAAGTGCTTCCGTAACCGTTCTTTAGGTGGTTAAAGTTTGTCGGTTGAAAACCCTGGTCTGAACAAGCATGATATTGATTCCTATTCCATGATTAATCAACATGACCATTTCAGCTCTAAAAAAAGGCCAGTCACGGCCTGAATAGCTCAGTGGTAATGCCTTGAGTTTTGAAGCTGTGTGGTAAGGATTTCTTATCCATCGAGAAACATCAGGTGAACCTTGCTGATGAGTGATAAGTAATACGACACCTGGATCTGGATTTTCATGTCGAATGCCTTTAACCACCTAACACAACAGCCCACACTATATCGAGTCACTTAGACTAGTGATCACATTATAATATTCAATCAACACTAAGGTCTAGATAAACATGACTTAAGTCACCACTCAGTGATTAGTCAGTTTTCCGTAAATGTGCTACTTAAAATGATTAACAAGGTATAAATCTTTTCAACAAAACACTAACCTTTTAGGGTATATTCTAACAGACACTTCATGCTAGTATCATGTAAACAGGTATAAATTACATTACTTTTTCTCCCAAAAAATCGTCAATTTAAAATGACATTAATATCAAAGATATCAGTCTAAAATAGTCACTTCTCTATTGATGTTTTCCTCATTACGAACTACTAAATAACCTGTTTCATAAAGCGGAATTATTGAGCGTAAAACATATGAATTAGATATGACAATACTGAATATCGATGCAATTAGTTGGTTTTTGTGATGGTAATAACATGAATAGCATTTAGGAATGATAGAAGTAACTGTCAATAAAATATAAAAGACAAATTACAAACTCATTAAATGAAAGCAAAAAAGTAACTATAAAAAAACATGTTTGTGTATGGAAAAGACAAATAAGAAGTAGAAACAAAAAAATCCACTTTTAATATAACATACTCTGTCAAATTTTTCATCATCCAAATTCATTTCTCTGTTTTCTATTATGGAATGTTGAATAAGGTCTACGTTATCGTTCAAACCGACCTTGCACGCATGTATATATAAAAATGAATTATTTGTTATCCAATGAAACACAATATAAAAAGAGCTTTATCATAAAAAAAAGATTGGAAGAATTAATTAATCACAGGAACTAACATGATTGAGATTTATTGTTTATTATTCATTTCATTTATTCCATTTCACTTCTTTGTGTAATTGGTTAAACATTTCGAAAAGTGGAACTGCACAACAGCATATATCCCTTTATATAAGTACTAAATAAATACATAATAATGCTGAATGGTATTTCAAAGGTAACTGACAGATTTCAATGTTATTCACAACATTAAATGTTTATCATAAATGCAATTTCAGTAGGAAAAAAAAGAAACCAACTTCCGATGTTTTTGAGAAATTAGTAAACTGTAATAACACAGAGACCGGTGCATTATCAGATGCATGTTGTGCAAGTAAATACACACGAAAATGGAAATTTCGATGAAATAGTTTTCAAGTCTTTTTTTTACACTTATCGATTGTTTGTTTTTAATTCATTAATCAATTGTAGTTAACTAATTTCATTACAATCGGTCATACTGTAATATTGTTCTTCAATATCTTCGTCATTATTACTATTATTAATATCATTGTCTCCGTTCATTTCAATATCTGGTGTTTCTAATGTAGCCTCTTCAATTTTCATGGACTCTTCATTCATTAAATCAAAATCGTCTTTGTAAATACTATTCTTATTGCATAGGTCAGAAGCAGTACTGTTTTTAATACTACTACTACTACTACTACCCGTAGTTATAGTAGTAGCGGTAATCGCAGCAGCAGTAGTAGTAATATTTGTAGTAACATCTGAACCTAAATTAGATGTTGATTCTTTATTCTCCGGTTGATTATGATGTAATAATGGTGATTGTGATTGTTTTCCAGCCTGTAATCTATCCAAATAGTCTAAACACTCTGATGATGTTAAATGAACAGTGATATTCATTTTAGGATCATGTGTTGGATGCGTTACTTCAATATGTCTAACTAAATGATCTTTACGGTAATATTCTTTTTTACATAGATTACATGTAAATGGTTTAAAACCAACATGTTTCAATGAATGTCGTTGTAGATTAGATCTTTGTGTAAAATGTGCTGAACAAATTGTACAACGAAATGAATTATGCGCTTCAATTGTATGCCGATTTAATTCAGCTAATGATGAAAAATTACGACGACATTGATTACAAATAAAACGACGACTAAGAACTAATCTTCGACCAAATAAAAAATTACTATTAGCAGTTGTAGTATTAGTAGTAGTTGTTGTGGTGTTAGATTGTTGATTTTGTTGCACTGATAATTTCATATTTTCATTTTTATGATTTTTTGTTGAATTTAGTTTTGAAAATTTATCTGTTGAATGATTATTTAATGAATATAATGGACTAGAACTATTCGATAATATGCTTGCACTTGAAGATGATTTAATATGAGTTTTCTCTGTTGTTATTAGTTCATTATCATTCATTGTTCCATTATCCAAAGAAATATGATTATTATTAATATGTGTATTTACTATTGTTGGTATAGTTAGATTATTTACTATATTGAAATTTGTAGAATTTGTATTATTATTAGTAGTATTATGATTTGTAGAATTATGAGTTGATATTGTTGTAAGGAGGTTACTATTAAATAGTTGGGATAATGTTGAGAGTGTTTTAAGTGAAATATTATTATTATTATTATTATTATTATTATTATTATTAGACGAAGCATTGAGAGTTAACTGGTTGATTAATGATGCAATTGGTTGATTTAAATGTTTTATACCTGGCATTATACCTACAGTTTCAATTAAACCTGTTTGCTTATCTTTGACATTGAATAATGTAGCAGTGGTATTTGTCGATCCTAAACTTATTGATGTAATATTCGATGGCGATGATGATAATGATGGTGTTGATTGCGTCAGTAATGCTTGTGAAAGTGTAGATGTTGATGTTGTTCCGAGAAATGATGTAGATGGTAGGAAAGCATTAAATTGATCAGTATTACTATTGTTGTTACTGGTACTACTATTACTAGTAATATTTGTATGAAGTGAAAATGGATTTATTAATGGGAATCCTATAACAGATGCTGTATTTAAAAGCGACTGGGTGTTAACTGCATTGTTTGTTAATGAACCTGCAATTGTATTTAAAACTGCTGTCGAAGTTGATTCTGTTGTCATTGTTTCTGTTTGTTTTGGTATTATACTACTCAAATGTGTTGTAAGTAAATTATTGGTTTGTTGAATATTTTGTTGCAATTGTGTTGGATATAATTGATTGAATAGCAAATTGGCATTTGTCGACATACCTGTATAATTATAAGTGATAGGATTCGATTTCGTTGCACTTATTGTTGTCATTGAAGTAGGAATAGTGGCAGGAAGCAATGACAATGAACTTGGGTTTAAAACATTTTGATATGCTAATGTATTTGTACTTTGTTGGTTTGGCTGTATTTGTTGAGACTGTTGTTGTTGCTGTAATAATGGAAGTAATGCTAATATAGACGTATCAAATAATGGAATTTGATTAATCGAATTAGTTGCAGATGTTGTAGCCACAACTGTATCCAAAGCTTTTGTCGAATTCATATTGGACTGTACAAGGCTAGATGATAACAAACTCGATGGTATACAACATGGGGATTTTGTTTCACTAATTACACCGTCAATAATTGCTTGTGACGTATAATCTTGTTTTATTGGTTTTGTATTCAAAGAATCTGTATGATAGTCCATGAAATCAGATGTTTCATTATGTAGAGATAAGTCTAATGCATCAGCTTCATTTGAAGTACTTTGTTGGCTAGTTGAATGTTCAAGAGATATTGCACTCAATATAGGCTTTTTTTCATTGAGTAGCATTTCATGAATTCCACTCTTACTCTTTGGTTTATCTAAACAATTTTGAAAACTATTATTGTTGGTTTCATTACGCTTCCCCCCTCGACACAGTGTTTCATCAATAACAACACACTCACTTTCTTGATCATCAATTGTGTAGCTCATCAGTAGACGTAAACTTAAACTTTCATCATGTGGAATCATATCAGCGAGCGTCGCTAAAAGACGCATTTTCAACCCATTTGCTTCAAGATTCTCTTGATTGTTTATAAGTGTATAACCTTGTAAAAATTCAGCACTATTGTAGTCAGTTTTATGATAAGATTCATCCTTTGACAGGCATTCTACTGAAGCTTCTGTTTCACTATCTTTTAAAATTGATCTGTTACAGTTATAGCTACTGATATTTTTGCTAGTAGTAAGTTTCTTAGAGCTAGCAACTGACGACAAAGTGTTTGTGTAAGAATTTAATAAATCGGTTTTAATCATATCGTGACCAGATGACCCATCGGTATAATCAGTTCCAGTCAACTCTTTTGTTGGTGTTGACGTTTTTGGCATAATTGTTCTCATGAAATTATTAATATTCATTAGCATCGCAGTTTTCTTTATATATATGAAACTAAAAAAATAATTTTTTTTAAAAACATTATTGTTTTGTGACAAAACAAAAGAAACTCATAATTAAGATTAATTATAGAAGGAAAACATTCTATTGAATTTATATTTCTATGGTTTTGAAGGGTTTATGATATAGATAGTTGTTTTGAATTCAAAGGTGATGACCTGACAATGTTTACCACAGATAATAGTTAACGGAATATGAGGGTTTTTGATTACTTCAGTAAACATTGATAGATTTCGTTATTATTATTATTCACATCCAGTTACTTGTCATCATTTTCATAGTTTATATCACAAACTAACCCTATTGCTTTTATCAAAACTGAATAATAATTAAGTAATTATCTAAATAAGAACAACTAAGAATAATTGGAAATTGGACAAAGTTGGTTGTAGGATTAGACAATAAATAAGATAAATACCTTAAAAGATGTTTATGACAGTAATAAAAACAGCAAAGTATCAATTGAATTAGACAGTGCAATTAAAATATACCTTATATATTCTACAGTAACACAATAAAGTTGTTCAATATTTAATTGTGAAGTGTATTATTTCTTTTTTATGAGTTTACCGTCACCCTTCAAGCGATATTTCTAAACAGTCAATAAATGTCAAGATTAACGTATTATAGGTCAGTTTAACATATCGTTAAAGTTAGTCAACAAGATTAGAAAGGAATATTATAAGGAAAACGGAACGAAAAATACTGATCAGAACAATAAATGATAATTAGGAACAAGTTGCATGTCACTATGGGACACTGTTTTTAACTGCAAGTTTGAATTAATCAACATTTCTGCTATATACAGTTATTTTCTTCCAATAGCATGTTCATTAAACTTTCGCATATTTCTTTATACATGGTGACTGATATCGAAATCATTGTTAACTTTTATTGACGATATTTGGACTACATATTTTTAAAATTTTCGACAGCATTCAGTTTATGAAGACTATGTCAATTCCATCTCAATGTCAATAAATTTCAATTATTAGCTTTTATATTATCAAGTCATACATATAACATTTCAGACGTACTAATTGACCGAGTTACGTTTTTTAATCCAGTTTAGTTATTACTTAGAATAAGGTAGATGTAGGTCAGTGATCATTTCTTAGTAATTAATGTCTACATGAATCCGTATTCAGTGAATACAAGAAGTTTAATAACTGATTTATTGTAGATATGTTACAAAGTCGATTATCGATAGATAGACAGAAGCAACTAAGGGTTTATATTATGATTTTAATTATTCTATTTACAGATGAATAAAACATTTAACTCTAGACTCTCCAAACTAAGATCGAAACATCGTTGCATAGTTTCATCAAACTGAATCATAAACTGAAAAGCAGTGTTATTGATATCATGAAACGATCTAAGACGAACCAACATTGAGAACCTAGAAGCACTAGACAACCATTTCTTCCTAGTACCTGACTCCTTAACAGCGCTCATCTACGACCTTGCAAGCGGAAACCGTACAAAGGACCTCGCATACAAACCATTAACCTTTTAACCACTGAGAGGGGATCCAACGGTGTTAATGTCGAATTTCCATAAAAGAAACCTGAACCTTATTGCAAGATATTTAAATATAGTATTATCAAGTTTTTAGAAGTAAAAAATGTCCGACTGTATAAAAATACTAGGTAAGTGGTCGTCCATGAAAAATTGTTACACCTATCAATCAAAAGAATTTTAGGTGAAGTTCATTATTGTCCAGTGAATGTCAGTTTGTTAATAAGAATCTATATCCAAACTATAGAAATCTCTATCGTCATCTGAGTAATTCAAGTAGTAGATGTTCAATAAGTGGTTAATAAATACTTAGAAAATGACATCTCATTCAAACAAATAAATCCATTTTCCAGTACATAACATTATTTCAGTAATTCAAAGTAAAAAAAAACACAAGAATTGTACCTATTGTGAAGCCACGATTCATGTTATCCAGTGATGGTATTCATCAAGAATTATTGAAAATGTCTCATAATCCATACTTTTAGGCATGTAAGCATTTGGATTGTTAATAAGCAAGAGAGGTAGGCAAAATCTCTGCGAAAATTCAGTTATATATATATATATATATATATATATATATATATATATATCGTTAGACAATCAGTTTAATCTTCTGTATTACGATCGAATACATCATATAAACAAAATATCATGAAATTGGTGACAGCTGTTTTGTATTTATTTAATCTTCGTTAATCTTACTTATTACATAAACTTTACAGATAGCTAATAGTAACAGTCATTGTATTATTTTCATTATACACTTTACTACTGAAATATCATATATGAGATAATAATAATAATAGTGATGGTATTATTTTTATGAACTAGATTTAGACATTTATTTTAAGTATATTAGTTGGAAAAAAAAATTACATTTGTTGTTATATTCGTCAATCAACACTTCAAAGTGAAAAAAGGTAAAGAAGGATTAAACAACTTTGAACATTGGACATTGGAAATATGGGTATATATATATATATTTCATTTGTTACATTTATGTAGATATGCGCTTGTTTTTGAATTGTTTATTTGTGATAGTTGACATCTTCTTTTGTGCATATACAAAATGGAGAAAGTGTGAGAGTAAAGGAGAGAGAGAGAGAAAGAGAGAGAGATAAACGATATTGAGTGATAGATAGTAATCTATTTGTGACATTTATTTCGGTATTTCGAATTTTTGATCATGAATGTGATTTTCTAATTTTGTTTTGCAATAATAATGACAATTCATAATATCATTACTAAATAATAGCGATAATGATCTTCACAACTAAAATATCAAAGCTAAGATGAATAGAAAAACATTTACATGTCTCAATAAACAAATAGATTGTTTTATGAAATCATATGTGATAAAGAAAGTTGATTCCTTTTTTAATCATTTCAAGATCTATGTGATTCTTCTACAAGTTATCCGAATAGAAATTTAGATTTGTTTACTAATAATCGACATTTATTGACAATAGAATACCATACACACGTACGCGCACATGAACCAAAAATTTAGGGAAGTATTTCATTGAAAGTGTTTATATCTAATGTTAATAGTAGTGATACTAATAACGAAACAATAATAATAATAAAAATGGTAGTAATCATAAGAGAGAATAACATGTGATGGATCAGCCCTGAGTTTAGTTCTATCTTCTACCTTTGAGATGGTGGAGAAGATTTGTAGCTCAAGTGGATGATTTTGATGGAGTTTTGTTTTCCAAGCCGGTTGGTTTGGTCGTGGAGCTTTCATCATTCTTCTGAACGACATCATCAGCACAAACTTTGGGTAGAACAAAACTCCGTCAAAATCTTCTACCTTACTTTTAACACCTAAATTTAGTTTAGATTAGGTGATAAAGTTTGACGACAGTTTACTAATGGAGAATTTATTGAGGCCATTTTTATTCAAATGTTGCTTCTAAGTTGGTTATGACTAAATTTTTTATTTGTTCGATCTTAATAATTTTCGTTTAAATACTGAGTTAAATTATCATGGAAAAGGATATTAAATTCGTCCGATCCATCTTCAATACTTCATTTCTATCCAGTTGTTTCTACGATTACAAAATATGCAATAGCTCTAATAAGTTTACATCATTTTGGCGAACACTGATAAAGAGTCTCAAACTGTGACGAAACAGTTGTTAAATGCCACTCTGATTTTCATTAGTTTTGTCATCGAATTCACTTTGTAAGGTAAATTGACTTCAAAGTAAACAATCTCTATAAACATCCTATGTTAATAATAACCACACGTACACTAGTGACTAAACTCGAATAGACTTCTCGAAGTCTCAATGAAAAGCCTTAACCCACGCAATCCAAACACTCTGGGAGTTAGACAGGTATCCTAAGTAGAAATGGATAATTGTCACTGAATATCTTAGATCAACAGAAGTTAAAAATATGGATGTCCAGAGTTTAACCTCAAGATGGGTCGAGTCCCGTACTAGGACGAAGCAGTTGTTTCACGACTCCCCTTACTTTTCATTGGTTATTTAGCTGAGACCAGTTCCAGGTAAAAAAACAACTTCAAATTGAACAATTCTAGCAAACCTCCTGTAGTAACGATAATAACTGTGAATTCATTACAAAGTCCCTATTCATTATTCTATGCAATCTTTATTTACTGTTTATTAAATAATCGATTACTTTTTATAATGAGACAAAGAATTTCGATTTCATGATAAATAAACAAATGATTAGGAATCATTGTGAATATATCCAACATTATCATGTAACTATGACCACTGACACATATACACATGCGTACATGTATGCAAGTATATGTACTAATTCTCCATTCATAAAAATTCTACCCCTTTAACTAAGTGTAACTTGGGACTAATTTTTAATGTAGTGTGATTATTCCATAAACAAACATATACATAAATACACATATACAAAGTTTTTAAATGAAATCTGTACTTCTAATAAGTTCAAAAGATTGAATTATTTTGAAAATTTCATGAAAACATTAAATCAATCACGCCATCTATCAACATCCTGCATGTAATAATCTATAGCTATTTCTTTGTATCTATGAGATATTAAAATATATAATGATTTTAGGAATACCATTGAGAAATCGTAGTAATAATGATAAAAACTGTTTAAAAAGCCCGATCTCCAAATTATTTTTTTGAAACTGACTAGTTATATTGATGAAAATGGAATACACTTGAAAAACAACCCCTTATTTGTCTCCCTATGCAACAAATCACTGACTGTCAAAGTTCTACTGGAATATCATTAGTCCAAGTCAAATCTTCAATTTTTTAATAAAAATAATGTTTCTTAAGGATAAACGAAAATTACACCAACCTAATCATGATCATCTTTCAGACTGAACAGTAATCGTAAAAAACATGGAATTAGTGTTTGACCCAGTAAATCAGTGGATAACCCATTGGTCATTTGAAGTGGAAGGTACTAGGTTGAAGTCTCATTGTAAACATCAGTGCTGGAATACT